CCCCGATCCGTGGATCTGACGCCCACGCGCCAGATCCACGGATCGGTGATCCATGTTGACGGGTGCCCGACCATCCTCCTCCCATTGGAACAGGGTAAGCTAGTTCTCCAAGCGTACCTCCTCTGGGTCGGGATGGGTTCCCTGAACCCCCCAGGGGACGGAACACATTCCCACCCTGGGGGGGAGGCAGGTCGGCCTGTGATGCCAAGGCTTCCCCTGCGGGAGTGGACATGGCTTGATTTCTCCAGTTGGGGGCGCGAGGGTTACATTTATGGTTTCTGCAGAGTTGCACACTGCTTGCCGCCCCCCATCGGGGTCTTCGGATTTGTCGTCCAGCAGGAACGCGCCCCTATCTCAGGAGTGGGTCCGCGGGAGGCGCTGCCGGAGCCTGTTTTCCTCTCGCCTCCCCCAGCCCGCGCGGCGGCAGCGGGCTACGAAGGCAGCCTTTGCAGGGGGAGGATGCTCGCGGAGGAGGAAAAGGCACCCATACCGCCACCCTTGCCTCGATTTCCTTTTGGGGGGCCTCATGGAACGCCCTCGTCGCCACCGCTGTAGTCGCCTCGAGATTCCGGTCAGAACGCACCCTGGGAGAGGTCTGGGGAGTAGCGGTATCGGTACCTTTCGGTTTCCCCCAGAAGACACGATTCCCCCCGACTCGACGAAATGGTGACCCAATTCGTCTCAAGCCGGCCTAAATGGTAGCGGAGGGTGCATTGCGCGCGTGGTCGCCGCGCAGGAAGCGGGACCTGAAGGAAACAGGCTCTGAAAGGTCTGGGGCAGTTTTCTGGCTCCTCCCCTGGGCCCCGGGACGGTCCTACAACGACGCAGGACAAGAAGATGGTCCAGGCGGGAATGCTCCATGGTCCAGGAACCGTTTCCCTTCAGGATCCGATTCTCTCGTGCCGGACACAGGATAGGGTCAGCACGGCGGCGGGGGCCGCTTCGGAGCCGGATTTCCAATGCCAGGCGGCGACTGCACGGCCACGCCTGTGTCGAGTGGGTCTGCACCTCATTGCCTCCTGCTAGTGCCTACTTTCTTTTCTTCCCTCCCCCCTTCTCCGAGGACTGTCCGTACGATCGAAATGGGTACGGACAGACTGTGGGCGAAGACCGACAGCAGTTGCTACCCACTCTGATCAGTCATGCTGTCGGCGCCACCGCGGGCGTTGTCCAATGGATGTCAGAAGTCGACGGCCGAACAGCGGCCGCTGTCGCTTTGGGACAACACTTGCTGCTGGGCATCACACCCATGTTCGGTGGCCACGTGTGAGCCCTGCCCCCACCCCCCACGAGTTCTATGGGGGGGGTCACTTCGTTGGGGGTTCTCGAGCGGCGCGACACCCCACCCCCCCTTAGAAGTCTTGGGGGTTGGGGGTGATTAGGGTTCGCATGTGGCCACCTAAGTACATGTTTTCCGTGAACATGTCGGGCGTCCAAAGGGGATCTATACACACCACCGTCTGGGAAATCGATCCTCGAGGGCTTCGGCAGGTGGTGGTGGCGGACAACTCCGCGAACGGCTGCGGAGGATTGCTGCTGGACAATGGCCTGAGTGTTGATCGTTGTCGGAGCGACGAGCCAGCGTGCATCGCTTCTGGAGCTCACCATTCCCGTTTCCGTGTCTTCCTGTTCTTTTCTTTTTGTTGTCCCTCTCTTCTCTTCCATTCCCCTCTCCCCTGTTCCTCCTGTCCTCCTTCCCCCTTCCGTCCCTTTCCCCTCTCCTTCCTCCCTCCCCTTGCCCCTCGCTCCGCCCCCTTCCTCCCGCTGTCTCCCATCACGATTCCTCTAGGTCCTCACTTGTGCCCTCTTCTTTGTCTTCTTCTTCTTCCTCCTCTTCCTCCTTCTCCTCCTACTCCTCCTACTTCTTCTCCCCTCCTGATCTCCCTTCCTTGTCTCCTCCTCCCTCTCCTCCCCCTCCTCTGGGCCTCTTCCTCCCCTCATCGCTCGTCGTGCTAAGCACCCCCCACCCCTCTCCCATCCTGCCCCCCTGCCCCCCACGCCCCCAGCACGTGGCCCAGAGCACCCTCTTGCTCTCCCATAGAAGCCTCCCTCCTCCTCCCCTGTCCTCGTCCCCGTGCTCTTCGGGACCTCGCAAAGGGGGGGGTGCCACAGGGGGGGGGGAGTTCGGTCCGTTGGCGCATCGAACCGCAGAACAACTATGCAAAACGAGGTCTGCGGCCGCCGCTGGAACCCGAGAGGCGTCGACAATCGGGGCGCGCGGGGGGCATCGTTTTTTCGGAAACCCGATGCACCAGCTGATCGAATTCCCCCCTCCCCCCCCTCAGGGTCTCCCCCCCCCTCTGGTGGGCCCCGACCATAGAAACCTCCCCCCTCCCCTATCCTCGTCCCCTCTGGACGCCCGAAATGGGTGCGGAAAGAATGGGTACAATGCCCAACAGCAATTCTTGTTCATTTTGAACAGGACTCGCTGTCCACGCCGCCGCGGCCTGTGTCCATTCGAGACAGAAGGCCGCCCGCCCAACAGCGGCCGCTGTTGGTTTGGGACAACATTTGTTGTTGGGCATTGTACCCATTTTTTCCGTACCCATTTCGGGCGTCCTCGTCCCCGAGTTCTGCCCAGCCTCTCATCCCTCCCTCTCCCCCCCCCCCCCCTCCCCGCAGAGCCCCTCCTCCTCGCCGAGCCCTGCCCGCCGCTTACGCGCGAGGGCCACGGGGAACCCCGAGGACCTGGAGGGCGGCGGCGGTGGGTCTGGCCAGGCCATGTCCATGCAGTGCTCCTCCTCCTCCTCCTCCTCCTCCTCCTCCTCCTCCTCATCCTCCTTCTCCTCTTCCTCCTCCTCCTCCTCCTCCTCCTCCTCCTCCTCCTCCTTCTCCTCATTCTCCTCCTCTTCTCTTCCTCCTCTTCCTCCTCCTCCTCCTCCTCCTCCTCCTCCTCCTCCTCCGCCTCGTCCTCCTCTGCCCCCCCCCGCCCTGGAGGACCCTGATGATGAGGAGGAGGGTGGATTTGTTTGGCCGCGCTGCTTCCAGGCGCCGCGTATCGTCTGGACGGGGGATGGCCGGTCCCTGGACGGCCTGAAGAGGCGGATGGGGCAAGAACAAGAGGGAGAGAGCGAGAGAACGAGAGAGAGAGAGAGAGAAAACGAGAGAGAGAGAGAGAGAACGAGAGAGGGAGCACCGATAGGGACTGTTCACCGTCCCGGCGCCAGGCGTCCTATTGACCCTCGCGCTCAGCCCTCGAGGTTGGGGCCCGCGTCGAAGGTGGGCGAGGGAGGCGGAGGAGGCCCTCGGCGCGCGAGAAAACGCGCCACCGATTAGGAATGGTTGACGAATCGCGCATCCCCATCGGCCCATCCAGAAGCGATGCCCGGGGGAGTTGAGGTGATCAGCGAAACGGCGGAGCATGCAGAAGAACAAAGGGCGAGGGAAGCCGTCCGATACTCCAAGAGAGGGAGGACGGTGGAGGAGGAGGAGGAGGAGGAGGAGGAGGAGACCCTCGGCGCGCAGTTCGTGGGCCACCAGCGTGGGCGAAAGTTCATGGCCTTGCGGTTGGCTCGACCCGTTGCTGCCTCGATCCTCGCTCCTCGATCCTCCTGCCTCGATCCTCGAGCCTCCCTCGGTCCTCGATCTGGGTCCTCGACCCTCCTCGTCTCGATCCTCGAACGCGCCCCGGTCCGGGTCCTGGTCTCGCCCCCCCCCCTTCCCCCCCCCCCCCCCCCTCCGCCCGCCCCCTTCGCCCCCCTTCCCCTCTCCCCTCTTCCCCTTCCTCCCTGCCCCCCCCCTTCCGCCCCCTTCCCCCTTCCCCCCCCTTCACCCCCCCCTTCCCCCGCCCTTCCCCCCCTTCCCCCTTCCCCCGCCCTTCCCCCCCCCTCCGCCCCTCTTCCCCTCCCCCTTCTTCCCCCTCCCCTCCCTCCCCCCCCCCCTCCCCTAGTCCCCCCCCCCTTCCGCCCCCCTTCCGCCCCCCTCCCCTTCCTCCCCCCCTTCCGCCCCCTCCCCCCCCCCTTCCCGCCCCCCCCCCGGCCAGCTTCCTCTCCCGTGCCGTGCCACGGCCCCCCTCTGCCGCTCCCTCCTCCCCGGCGGGGGCGGCGCGGCAGGTACTCGACCTCCCGGGTGGAGGCCGTGCAGAGCGTGCAGAAGACCATCGGGGAGTTGGCCCAGATGTTCCAGAAAATGGAGGGGCCCATACTGGGCGAAGAGATATATGCACATGCACCGATCCTCGAGGAGAACGGGTCCTCTGAATCGTGACATCGCAATCTGAAACGTGAATTTCAAAAGTACGTTGTTTGTTGGAGGGGCCCATTGGGCGAAGAGATATATGCACATGCACCGATCCTCGAGGAGAACGGGTTCTCTGAATCGTGACATCGCAATCTGAAGCGTGAATATCAAAAGTACGCTGTTTGTGTACGCCGTGTTTTTTTTTGTTTTTTTTACGCAGCGGGTTTGTTACGTTGTCTTTTGACGTAGTGTGTTTTTCCAGCGTAGCGTTTCCTGCGTAGTGTTTCTTGCGTAGTGTTTCGTGTTTTGCTTGATGTAGTGCTTCCTGCGTGGTGTGCCCTGCGTTGTGCTTTCTACGTAATGTTTCCTGCGTAGTGTTTCTTGCGCGGCTTTTTTACGCAGTGTTTTCTACGTAATGTTGCGTGCGTAGAATGTGTGCTTCGTAGTGGTTTCTACTTCGTGCTTTCTGCGTAGTGTTTCCTGCGTATCGTTTTCTACGTAGCGTTTCCTGCGTAGTGTTTTCTACGTAGCTTTGTCGACGTAGCGTTTCTTGCGAAGCGTGTTCTACGTAGCGTTTTCTGCGCAGTGTTTTCTACGTAGCGTTTCCTGCGAAGTGGTTTCCACGTTGCGTTTCGTGCCTTGTGTTTTTTACGTAGTGTTTCTTGCGTAGTGCTTCTTTCGTAGTGTTTTATATGTCGTGCTTCCTGTGCAGTGTTGTCTACACATTGTTTTTACGCAGTGATTTTACGCAGTGCTTTTTTGTGTACGCGGTGTTTTTTTACGCAGCGTTTTTCAATTCGTAAAACACAGCTCTGTTCTCAAAAAGCTGCGATACCACTGCGTGGGAACACCCTTGCGTTAAACGCATTGCGTTGGAACACGTCGTGGTTAAACGTTGCATAACAAAGAAACATACATGGTGTAGAAGCCATTGCGAACAAGTCACTGCGTTACCTACACTGCAAAAACAACGCTGCATTAAAAACACGGCATAACAAAACAAGACATTGCGTTAAGCACCATTGCGTAACACACACATTGCGTTGAACACAATGCGTAACACACGCCGTTCGAATCATTGCGCCAAACAGGAACATTGCGTACAAAGCATTGCGTTGACACAAGCCAGCGTTTAAACATCGAACAGCTGCATTAAAAAACACCCCTACTCTGAAACCACTGCGTAAAACAACCATTGCGTGCGTGTGGAGCACACTACGTAAACAAACATTGCATACAAACATGGCGTAACACACATTCTACGTAACCGAACACTGCGTAACATCATTGCGTAAAAACCATTGCGTAACAACACACTGCGTTAAAACCATTGCGTAAGCAAAACGTTGCGTGAAGCACATTGCGCACAACATAACTGAACCGCTGCCTAAACAACAATGCGTTGAACTCACTGCGTCAAAAACACTGCGTAAAAGACATTGCGTTGAACACACGGCGTAAAAACACTGCGTTGAAAACACCGCTTGCAAAAACAAACGGAGTAAAACGCACGGCTTTGAAACGCAGCGCTTAAACATTGCGTGACATACATTGCGTAAAAAAACATTGCGTGAAACAACAATGCTTAAAACAACACATTGCGTTGAAAACACCGCACAAATAATCATTGCGTTAAAATCATTGCGTGAAAAACCACGGCGTAAACAACACGCAGAGTAAAACATATTGCGTTAAACAGCGCGAAAACATTGCGGCAAACACATCGCGTAAAAAGACACTGCGTTTAATACACTGCGTACACCAAAAACAACTCGTTAAAAACATTGCGGACAAACACACACACAAGCATTAATTGAAGCCATTGCGTACAAAAAACATTGCGTAAAATGCGTCGCGTTGAAACACACCGCACTGCGTAGAACAAAACAACACGGCGTAACCAAAATACGACGTAAGAAAACCACAGCGTTAAAATACACTGCATAACACGAACACTGCGTTAAGCAACACTGCGTAAACAAACACATCGCGTTAAACAACACTGCATAACATAGCCTTGCAAACAACACACTGCGTACAAAAAAAAACACTGCGTAAAAGCACACACACACACACTGCGTAAAAAAAAACACGGCGTAAACAAAGTGGAGGGCGCGTGCACCGATCATCGGTTCAGGATGAGCCTGGCCAGGATCGGTGTTTGTGCATGGTTGTCTTTCATCCAGCCCACCGCCCCGGGCGCTCGCTCGGAGCCCTCGGGCGGCCTTCCCGGCGTCCCGCGCGCACGATGGCGCGCGAGATGGCCAATGCGTGCCGCGCGCGCTTCCCCGAGCGGGGGCGCCCATAAGGGGCCACGTGCGAACCCTACCCCTACCCCCCACGATTTTTGAGGGGGAGGGTGGGGTTCACTTTGTTCGAGAACTCCCGAGCGAAGTGAACCCCACCCTCCCCCTCAAAAATCGTGGGGGGGTAGGGGTGGGGTTCGCACGTGGCCCCCCAGCTCAGCAGCAGGCCAGCCTGGCATCCCGGATCCCAAGGGGCCCTGGGGACCCCGCGCTCTCGGGCGGACGGCAGCGGGGGTTACGCGAACGGAGGGGACTAATAAGAAGGCCCCCAAGGGACCCCCTCAGGGGCTCCCTGGCATCGCTCGGACGTGTGCATTTTTTTCTCGGCGAGGACCATCGAGGAGCATCCTTGATCATTTGGCGAAAAAACCACGCACGAAACCGAAACAAAAGCACAGGGAATGGACGTCCGAGCGATGGCCAGGGCTCCTTTTGGGCCCCTGCTGGTTCCAAGGAGGGGTCTTTAAACAGGTCACCCCCCACTGCCACCCGCCCGACGCTCACGCGCAGGGCACCCTTGCGGGCAAGCTGGTGGCCGGAGCTTGCCATCCACGCCCTGGTCGTCCTCCTGCGGATCCCGCTGGTCCTCCCCGTCTATCGCCTTGCGCCCTGCTTCTACTCTTCTAGCTCTGCCTCCTCCTCCTCCTCTTCCTGCTAGTCGTCCTGCTGATCCTCGTGCTCCTGCTCCCGCAGCCATCAAGGCTCAATAAGCTACCAGGTAACGTTTTACTCTGCCCCGAAACTCCTCCGGGCATCCTGCGGCATCGAAGTTCAACTTCAGCTCCATAACATCCCTTGCATCTCGACCTCTGCACTTCGGCAGAGAGATGGCGGCCGTCAGCTTCGAGACTACCAAGGCGCACGCGGCGCTCTCGTGGGCCACGATCGTGAAGCGCGGCGACAGCGACGCGTCCGCGGAGGAGACGGCGGGGAGCGCCGCCCCTGGGAAGACCGCGCTCTCGCCGGGCCCCCGCGGCTCCCGCACGTGCGAGTGCCGCGGCCAGGTGATCATGATGCTCGCCTACTACGGCTGGATCGCGCCCCTGCAGGACATCGACCACCCCGACGCGGGCAAGCACGAGGGCCACATCTACGTGCGGGCGACCGACGTGGCCCCCGGCGCGTCGCTCGCCCCGGGCCAGGCCGTGAGCTTCTACCTGTACGCCGACGACCAGGGCCTGGGCGCCGAAGACTGCCGCCCCGACGGCGTGAGGGCGCCAACCGCATACGTCTCGGTATTGTTTAACGGATCCCCTTCGAGACCCTCACCAGATTACCACCCCCGTTGGGGATACACCCCTCGAAACCCGAAGAGAACGACCTACATCCCCATCTAGGGGGGAAAATCGGCCAGTGGGGCCCGGGCCACGCCGCTGGGGATGGGGACCAGTGAAACGATACTCAACGTCTGCACCGAACCTGGCCAGGCCCATCCTGGGCCCAGTGCCGGGCCTGGCCAGGACCGGCGCAGGTGTTTGGTTGACGCCCTCCGAGAAGGCGCGGACGGCGCCGACGAGTTCTGCTTCCGCGCCGCCGCGCAAGAGTTCGTCCCCTCGGCTGGCTTCTGCGCCGCCGCGCCCGAGTTCGTCCCCTCGGCTGGCTTCCGCGCCGCCGCGCCCGAGTTCGTCCCCGTGACCAGCTCCCACGCTGGCTGGGCGCTCGGCAGCGGGGGCGCAATGAACGGGGGAGGGACCGAGGATTACAGCAAAGGGGGCCCCCAAAAATTGCCAAGGCGGTCCCAGCCAGTGCTGGAAGTGCATACGTTTCTTCATCCCCCCCGTTGGTTACAGCTGGTGCGAGGGCATCCCAAGCTTTGGATGGGTACCTTGATGTTCTTTGAATTCGGTTTCTCGACCTCGGAGCGTACAGCAGGGGCTCGACCAGAAGAAACCTCCCAGAAGCCCAGCCCTGAGACCCCAGGACGTCCACTGATCTTTGGTGCGGGAACGTCACGCCTTCCACAGCAAAATCATTGAAACCCAAGAAACCCAGGGCACCCTGGACAAGCAGGGTGTCTATTGACACGGGTCTCCACCGTGCTTCGTCTGGGGCATCTCCGTGGGGCTTTGGGCCTTCGGCGAGGGGGCCCGTGCTCTTGGCCCACGCTCTTGGGGCCACGCTTCGCCTGCTGCCCTTGGCGTCGGAAATATTACATTCAGTCGGGCATGTCCCTCTACAGGAGGAATATTCAAAAATAGTCCAAAGATAGTCTGGGGACGATTTCTGACCATGGTTTGACCATGTTGGAGCATGTGTTGGGCCACTTTGCAGTTTTCGCCCAACATCCGCCTGTAGGAGGACATGCCCGACCTAAAGATGGCGCGTGCCATCGATCTCCGGCAAAAAGCACGCTGCCACGGCGAGGCGACCCCCCTCCCTCCGTCAGGTCCCCCTCCTGCTTGTGGTGGTGGCAGTGGAAAACAAGCCCACCATATTGTTTTCCTTCGAAGAAGGGGGATAAGCGGGGGAAGCGTACTCAAAATCCCTTATTACTCGTCCCCCGGGTCTAGTTTTTTAAGGCGCCTTTTTGTAACTGAGGGGGGTCCGCTTTATTCGGGGGCTTCTGTGGATTGGAGCTTAGGGGGTCCGGTTTACGAAGGCTCCCCGTCGAAGAGGGGGGTCCTCCTCCTCCTCCTCCTCCTCCTCCTCCGCCTCCTTCCCCCTCCAGCTGGTGGTGGTGGTGGAGGTGGAAGACAGGCCCATCAAAAACGTCAGACGCATCAACTGTTGGCGCTCCGCGCGGGCTTCTTAAGGGCCCGCGCTGCGCCCCCACGGCGCCGCCCCAGGCGCGCTCCGCGCGCGCCACGGAGGGGGGCGTACGGCGCCGATCCGAGAAACCCGCGCGGAGCGCCAACATTTTCCTCCTCCTCCTCCTCATCCTCCTCCTCCTCCTCCTCCTCCTCCTCCTCCTCCTCCTCCTCCTCCTCTGTTTACAATGGGGGCCCATGCCAAGAAGCACCCTGCGTGCCTCCAGGGTGCCCTGGGTTTCTTGGGTTTCGATGGTTTTGCCACCGAAAACGTGGCGTTCTCGCACCAAACAGCGCCGAACGTCCTGGGGTCTCAGGGTTGGGCTTCTTGCGGCAGGTTTCTTGTGGTGGGGCTCTACTGTATTCCCCCCCGTCGGCGAGCACCCTGAGGCGACGTGCCAACTGGCGTGCAGTGGGCCCACGACGCCGCCGACTCCGACACCGACACCGACCTCTCCAGCGACGCGGGCGGCGCCGTGGCCTTCTCCTTCCGCGCCGCCGCGCCGGAGTTCCTGCCCCCCGCCGGCTGCTGCGCCGCCGCCCCCGAGCTCGTCGCCGCGAGCGGCCTCGTCGGCGTGCTGCCGCCAGGCGCGCAGAAGTCGCCGGGCGCCGCCGACGCCGACACCGACCTCGCCAGCAGCGCGGGCGGCGACTCCGAGGACGCGGCCAGCGACTCCGAGGACCAGGGCTGGACCTAAACGGTGTTTTGCCGATTTCGTGGGCCGTTTTCGTTTCGACTTCGTTTCGCGGTAGAGGCGGATTGAAGACAAAACGAGGGAAAACGAAAACAAAACGAAAACATCAAACACCGTTTAGGTTCAGCCCTGCCGAGGACTCCCTTTGCGCGGGCCTATGCGGCCCCGGGCCCGCCGCCGGCGGCGCCCGCCCGCTCGCGCGGGCGGTCGGCCTGGAGAGCCACGAGGAGGGTTGGGGGCTGCTCGCGCGGGGGTGCCGCGCGGGGGGCAGCCGCGCGAGAAGACGGGGGGCTTCCGAGAAGGCAGGCGGGGCCTTCTCGAGAAGGGCTCGAAGGCTTCCGAGGGAGCCCTCTCACCGACTAGATTTTCGAGTGACCTTTCGCCGGAGTGGCCTCTGGTGCGTGCGAAGTGGGGCCCCCGGTTTGCCGAACGCGCTGCGATAGTGGTGTCCTGCGCGCTCGTGTGTGGGGTCCCCCCGCGGTCCCCAGGAAGTCGCGCACCAAGGGCCGCCCTCACCCAGGGCCACTCTTGCGTATAGCCGATCTCAGAAGCTTCTGGGCCCTTCTTCGAAGCTCCCGTGCCATCTTGCAAGTCCCTCCGCCTGCTCAGACCACCCCGCCCCCCTCGCGCCCTCCCCCCTCGTGATCGGGCGGTGGGAACTGCGTGCGCACGTGCACCGACCCTGGGCCCGGGATCGGTGCACGTGCCCCCCCCTGGCCGAGCTGCAGCCGCCCTCGAGATCAAACGCAAGTCTTTAAATGCTGATAGTCACCACCCACCAAAACACCCCAACCCAACCCGAAGGCTCAGATTTACCCTCGATTTCCAGTGGGGGGGGGGGTCGGGAAACATCGAAAAAACACATGTGGAACCCTTAACCCCCCCCAACCCGAAATTCGGGTCTTCGGGTTGGGTTGGGGTGGTCTGGTAGGTAGTCAGATAGTCGCGCGAAACGTGGCCCGCGGGGTCAGACTTTCGTGTTCTAAGGCGCCAGATTCGTCGCGAATGTCGAATGTGTGGGGTCTTGGGCGACGCCACGTTGCGGGGCAAACGCGCGTTTGACTTCGAGGATGGATGTAGGAGGGCGCGGATACCGATCCTGGGCCCACACTGGACCGGTCCAGGGACGGTGCATAGTTCGGCGTACTGTACTTGGTCCTCCACGGTCGGCACGTCGAATGAGACATCGGCTTGCGAGCAGGTGCCACACGGAAGTTTCCGATCCCTCCGTGGGCCCAGGGACCCACAGAAGCGTGGGACCCGTTTGTTTCAGGATCGTCAGCGATAGACGACACACGAGCCCCCAGACTTGTTTTAGCAAGGATCCTTGTCGTACGTGTCCGCTGTGCTGCTGGATGACGGCTTGCCCATCGGGTGCATCCCAGCGCTGCCGCCCCCTTTGCGGCGGTTTGGACTAACCGCACACCTTGTTGGCACACCAGGCTCTGGTCTCGTGGCGATGCTCTGCGCCTATAGTGGTGGGCCTGTCTTCCACCACCACCACCATAAGTTGGAGGGGGAGGGGGTCCTCCTCCTCCTCCTCCTCCTCCTCCTCCTCCTCCTCCTCCTCCTCCTCCTCCTCCTCCTCCTCCTCCTCCTCCTCCTCCTCCCCCTCCCCCTCCCCCTCCACCTACTCCTTCTCTTCGTTCTCCTCCTCGTCCTCCTCCCTCCCCCCTCCAACTTGTTGTGGTGGTGGGAAACAGGCCCATCATATAGGCCTCCTGCTGCGGTGCTTCTCCGCGGCCGCCCCCCTCCTCTCCTCTTGGTATCGCATGTGCCCCCCAGGGCCAGCGCGGTCTGCTGGCTGCAGTGGGAGCCCATGCCAAGAAGCACCCTGCCTTGCCTCAGGGCTCGAGCTAAACGGTGTTTTGGCAATTTCGTGGACCGTTTTCGTTTTGATTCCGTTTTGCAGCAATTGTGGAACGAAGACAGAACTAGGGATGACGAAAACAAAACGAAAACGGAAAACACTGTTTAACTCGAGCCTCCAGGGTACCCTGCCTTGCCTGCAGGGTACCCTGGGCTTCTTGGGCTGGTTGGTTCTGCTGTGGAACGCGTGACGCTCCGGTGCTGACAATCCGTGGACGCCCTGGGGGCTCAAGGGCCGGGACTGTCGCGGAAGGTTTCCCGTGGTCGAGCCCCTACTCTACGCCTCAGGCCTCCTGCGTTCTTCCTCCGCGGCCGCCCCTCCTCCCCCTCCTCCCCCTCCTCCTCCTCCTCCTCCTCCTCCTCCTCCTCCGCCTCCTCCTCCTCCTCCTCCGCCTCCTGCTTCTCCTCCTCCTCCTCCTCCTCTTCCTCCTCCTCCTCCTCTTCCTCCGCCTCCTCCTCCTCTCTTCCTCCTCCTCCTCCTCCTCCTCCTCCTCCTCCTCCTGCTCTTCTTCCCCTGACATCGCAGGTGCCCCCATGAGCCAGCGCGGCCGGCCGGTTGCCGGTTGCTCTCGCTGCCGACCCCGAAAAACGTGTCTACGATGGTCTGTGCGCGGCGCCACGAGGCCATTTGGCATCGCTCGGACGTGTGCTGCTCTCGGCCAGGACCACCGTTAGGAGGGGAAAAAACACACAGACACAATTAATCGGCGATTCCCAGAAAATATAGGAAAATCTGGGAAGTGGGGGGGGAGACAAAAACCCAGAAATTACGCTACCGAGGAACCCCACATACTGATTTTATGTCTTGTGTGAACCGCGCTACCACTACCACCGCCGTCATGCTCTCAGGTGCCCCCTGTGGTCGTTGAAAGGAGGGGGAGGACGTGTGGGGGGAGAGGAGGGGTTGAGGAGTCATCTGTGACGGTCATATCCGGCGTCGCCTGGCACTTGGATACGAGAGGTAATACGCAATCCCGCACTAGAGGCTATGCCTGGACGACCCTGGCACGCATAGGGAGACCACCCCCTGCGCACCCCCTCTGGTGTTGAGAAAATGCCACGCCTGCAATGCCTGGACGACCCTGGCACGCATAGGGAGACCACCCCCTGCGCACCCCCTCTGGTGTCGAGAAAATGCCACGCCTGCAATGCCTGGACGACCCTGGCACGCATAGGGAGACCACCCCTGCGCACCCCCTCTGGTGTCGAGAAAATGCCACGCCTGCAATGCCTGGACGACCCTGGCACTCATAGGGAGACCACCCCCTGCGCACCCCCTCTGGTGTCGAGAAACTGCCACGCCTGCAATGCCTGGACGACCCTGGCACGCATAGGGAGACCACCCCCAGCGCACCCCCTCTGGTGTCGAGAAATGCCACGTCTGCTATGCCTGGACGACCCTGGCACGCATAGGGAGACCACCCCCTGCGCACCCCCTCTGGTGTCGAGAACATGCCACGCCTGCTATGCCTGGACGACCCTGGCGCGCGAGACCACACCCCCTCTGGTGTCCACGCCTGCTATGCCTGGACGACCCTGGCACGCATAGGGAGACCACCCCCTGCGCACCCCCTCTGGTGTCGAGAACTGCCACGCCTGCTATGCCTGGACGACCCTGGCACGCATAGGGGGACCACCCCCTGCGCACCCCCTCTGGTGTCGAGAAAATGCCACGCCTGCTATGCCTGGACGACCCTGGCACGCATAGGGGGACCACCCCCTGCGCACCCCCTCTGGTGTCGAGAAAATGCCACGCCTGCAATGCCTGGACGACCCTGGCACGCATAGGGAGACCACCCCCTGCGCACCCCCTCTGGTGTCGAGAAAATGTCACGCCTGCTATGCCTGGACGACCATGGCACGCATAGGGGGACCACCCCCCTGCGCACCCCCTCTGGTGTCGGAAAAAGCTATGCCTGGACGACCCTGGCACGCATAGGGAGACCACCCCCTGCGCACCCCTCTGGTGTCGAGAAAATGCCACGCCTGCTATGCCTGGACGACCCTGGCGCGCATAGGGAGACCACCCCCTGCGCACCCCCTCTGGTGTCGAGAAAATGCCACGCCTGCTATGCCTGGACGACCCTGGCGCGCATAGGGAGACCACCCCCTGCGCACCCCCTCTGGTGTCGAGAAAATGCCACGCCTGCTATGCCTGGACGACCCTGGCACGCATAGGGAGACCACCCCCTGCGCACCCCCTCTGGTGTCGAGAAAATGCCACGCCTGCTATGCCTGGACGACCCTGGCACGCATAGGGAGACCACCCCCTGCGCACCCCCTCTGGTGTCGAGAAAATGCCACGCCTGCTATGCCTGGACGACCCTGGCACGCATAGGGAGACCACCCCCTGCGCACCCCCTCTGGTGTCGAGAAAATGCCACGCCTGCTATGCCTGGACGACCCTGGCACGCATAGGGAGACCACCCCCTGCGCACCCCCTCTGGTGTCGAGAAAATGCCACGCCTGCTATGCCTGGACGACCCTGGCACGCATAGGGAGACCACCCCCTGCGCACCCCCTCTGGTGTCGAGAAAATGCCACGCCTGCTATGCCTGGACGACCCTGGCGCGCATAGGGAGACCACCCCCTGCGCACCCCCTCTGGTGTCGAGAAAATGCCACGCCTGCTATGCCTGGACGACCCTGGCACGCATAGGGGGGCCACCCCCTGCGCACCCCCTCTGGTGTCGAGAAACTGCCACGCCTGCTATGCCTGGGCGACCCTGGCACGCATAGGGAGGCCACCCCCTGCGCACCCCCTCTGGTGTCGAGAAACTGCCACGCCTGCTATGCCTGGACGACCCTGGCCTGCATAGGGAGACCACCCCCTGCGCACCCCCTCTGGTGTCGAGAAAATGCCACGCCTGCTATGCCTGGTCGACCCTGGCACGCATAGGGAGACCACCCCCTGCGCACCCCCTCTGGTGCGGCGCGGCAGGGAAGAAAACCAGAACCCCACGAAGTGAGGTGAGTGTCGCGGGTGCGGCGCGGCAGGGAAGAAAACCATAACCCCACGAAGGATGTGGGGAAATATTAGAAAATATGTGGAATATTTTTATTTGTGTGTATTTTGTTTGTGTGTCCCAGTTCCCCTTCACACCGAGGAGGACATTGAGCCATCTCGCGAAGCAAAACCACGCACGACATCGACTGATGCACGTGGAACGGGCGTCCGGATGGCGAGGGCAGGGTCCTTTTCGATCCGATCTGGTTTCGGCCATCTCGATCCGATCCGAACCCGATGTTCCGACGATCCGAGGCGGCCCGATGCTTGCATGGCGCTGTGATGCATCCTGACGCTGCTGGCCCGACTCGATCTCGACTCCATGCCGATGCAGCCTGGACCGATGCAAAGCTCGACTCGATCCGGCCGATCCGCTGCTGACTGATCCTGCCAGCCTGGGCCAGCTGGGGAACCTGCCGGGAGCGGGTCCCGCGACGGAGCGGCCTGAAGGGCGAGGCAGGAGGGCGCGGGTTCGTCTGAGGGGCCGCTGTGCCTGGCGCATGGTGCGCGGCGGGGGTCCGCCAGTGGGCCTCAGAAGCCATCGAGGTCAGGGCCATGCCCGGAGCGAGACCCCCCCCCCTCCCCTTGGGCGTTGCGTAATGGGGAAAATAGATGAGGGGGTGGCGAGGGAGGTCCGAAAAGGTGCCCAAACGGTACCTAAACGAGCTCCCTGGGGCTCCCGAGGGGCCGGAAAAGGGCAGGAAAGGGCACCGTTTCCGACCCCACCCATCCCCCCATCAAGCCGCACCCCCCCCCCCCCTTTCCGCCCACTGTCGACACGCCGGGCACGAAGACGTTCCCTATATTGGTCAATAGGCGACGATCGGGGCGAGTAGCCCAGGGGAGGGCAATACTCGGGTCGGGCGAAAGGGGGGGTTTGGGAAAGGGGGGGTTACGAAATTTGCTGCATGTAGCTGGTTTCGGCCCCACCGAGGGGCCCATTCCTCGATACATAGCCGCCTCCGGCGCCGGGAGGCGCCGGGAAAATCAGCTACGTGAGCTGATTCTCAAACCCCCCCCTTTGCTATCCCCCCCTTTCGCCCGGCCCGAAATACGTGTATCCAGGGGCGCCGGTGAGCTATGTCTTGGACGAGGCTCCCGGGCGACTGCATGTGATGCCCTCCCCTGGGCTGCTCGCCCGCCTCGTCGCCGCCGAATGGGGCTCCCTGCCCTCCTCCTCCTCCTCCTCCTCCCCCTCCTCCTTTTCTTCCTTTTCTTCCTCCTCTTCTTTTCTTCCTCCTCCTCCTCCTCATCATCCTTTTCCTCCTCCTCCTCCTCCTTTTTGCTCCTCCTCCTCCTCCTCCTCCTCCTCCTCCTCCTCCCCCTCCTCCTCCTCCTCCTCCTCCTCGAGGACCGCGGGGCGGGCGCCGAGGCCCGCCGGGAGGCGGCCGCCCTGCCGCCGCCCGCGGCCCCCGGGGGCGGCGGCATCGGCTCGGCCCCGTGGCGCTCGCACGCCGCGCCCCCGGGGCTCGGGGGCGCCGCGCCGCGCGGCTGGCGGCTGGAGTGCCTCCAGGACTCCTCCTCCTCCTCCTCCTCCTCTCCTCCTCTCCTCCTCCTCCTTCCCCTCCTCCTCCTCCTCCTCCTCCTCCTCCTCCTCCTCCTCCTCCTCCTCCTCCTCCTCCTCCTCCTCCTTACCCGTACCTCGGCACGAACGAGATGGGCACGGAAAGAATGGGCACACTGCCCAACAGCAGTTCCTGTTCATTGTGAAGAGGACTCGCTGCCCGCGCCGCCGCGGCCTGTGTCCATTTGAGACGGAAGGCCGCCTGCCCAACGGCGGCCGCGGTTGGTTGGGGACAACATTTGTTGTTGGGCATTGTGCGCAGTCTTTCCGTTCCCATGTCGGGCGTCCAAAAGGACGGTTCCCGTGGGCGGCTCGAAGAGATGTCAGGAAGGGGAAAGTTCACACACAGGCTCAAGGAATCGTCGACTCTCCCGGGAACCGTGGGTGGCGCAGAGAGATGTCAGGAAGCGGGGAAAACACACACAGGCGCAAGGGATCGTCGACTCTCCCAGGGACCGTGGGTGTTTCGGAGGTGTCAGGAACGGGAAAAAACACACAAGCGCAAGGAATCGTCGACTCCCAGGAACAGATGCGAAGATATGGGAAGTGTGTGTGTGTGTGTTTGTGTGTGTGTGTGTGTGTGTGTGTGTGTGTGTGTGTGTGTGTGTGTGTGTGTGTGTGTGTGTGTGTGTGTGTGTGTGTGTGTGTGTGTGGGGGGGGTGGCGGGAAGACGAACACCCAGAAGATATGGGAACATATGAGGAATCCTGTTACTTGTGCCTATTTATTCGTGTGTCCCAGGGCCCCTTCAAGATGGGTTCCTGAGGGACGGATCCTCCGCGTCGGTTGCCTCTCTTCCCCTCCTCCTCCTCCTGGGCGGCGGCGCGCGCGCCAGGCGCCCTCGAGCGGCTGCGCGCTGCCCCGAGCGCCCTCGAGCGTCGCCGCGAGCGCGCGGTCTATTCGTGTCCTACCCGCCCCCCCCCCCCGCGAAAGTTTTTCTTTGAATCGTGTCGCTCCCATTTGTTTTTTAACGCGTGCCCCCCAGTAAGGAAATAAGCCCCGGCCTCCCACATGGGGTCCGTGCAGATGGGGTCGGAGGATCGCGCCGCATCGCCGACGCATCGGCCTTGCGGCTCAACGCGGGGCCCGACGCTCCCTACGCCTATGGCGCTGATGCATCGCCGACGTCGCCGATGCACCGCCGATGCATCGGCGATGTGGCGCGATCCTCCGACCCCATCTGCTCGGTCTGGGAGGCCTCTCAGGATGGGGTCCTGTGGGATGGGGTCCTCTGAGGATCGGAAAGGGCCCAGGGATGGAGTCTTCAGTGCTTGAGGCACTTCGTCCTTGGGCCCCCATGCCTCGGGGCCCCATCCCCGAGGACCCTCGGGCCTCTCGTAGTGGGGCCCGAGGGTCGCGCCGCGTCGCGGGCGTGACCCTCCTCGGCCACGCGCGCAGGGCGGTGAGGGGGGAGGGTCTCTCAGAAGGACGGGAGGGGGTTCCTCCTCCCCCTCCTCCTCCTCCTCCTCCTCCTCCCTCCTCCGCCTCCTCCTCCTTCTCCTCCTCCTCCCCCTCCTCCTCCTCCTCCTCCTCCTCCTCCGCTCGTCTTCCTCCTCCTCCTCCTCCTCCTCCTCCTCCTCCTCCTCCTCCTCCTCCTCCTCCTCCTCCTCCTCCCCGTGTGCGCGCGCGTGGGCGCGCAGGAGCGGCCTTCCGCTGTGAGCGGCATGTTTGGTGCAGGCTACACGCCCAGACATCGTCGGGCGTCTCGAGAAAAAATCGGGGCCACGTTTTTGCGCTTGCGGCCTCTCGGGGCCCTTCCCGGGCCTCGGGGTCGTCAAGAAGCGACAGGGGATGAAACAACGGTCCCGAGGAAGTGGTCGAGAGGTAGGGGGCCCGTGCCTCGAAAAAATCGAGACGCCGTTGTCCAGGCGGGTCCTCACGGGTTCAGGGGGGGCGAAGGGAGGGGGTAGTCCTCGAGAGGCGGCCCTTCAGGTACCAAAAGGGGGCCTTGAAGGTCCGAAAATGGCACCCTTTTGCCCCTTCTCACCCATCGGCCCCCGTTCACTCGGGCCCAAGCGGGGGCGTTTAAGAGTCCGAAAAAGGCACCCTTCTGCTCCCCTCACTCCAGACCCCCGACGTCCTGATTTTTCCAACACGCCACCCCCATAGGTTCGGACCTATTCCCCGGGACCGCTTTTCCATCCGGCGTCGTTTTTCGACGCTCTCGCGGCTCGGTGAGGGCCCGCCGTCATTTTTTCACCACGCGAGGGGGTCTGGGCTTATCGTCCCCCCATGTCATTCGCGCCCAACCGAAAACCACCAGGGGGCCAAGCGCGCGGTTGCGCGCTGGGCCGCGGCTCGCGGCACCCCGCCGGGCCCGCACCAGGGCGCCCAAGACCGCCTCGACAGGGCCCAGGGACCTCGCCCGCTCCCAGGCCCTTTCCACGCCAAGCGCCCAGGCGGAGGAGGAGGAGGAGGAGGAGGCGGAGGAGGAGGAGGAGGAGGAGGAGGAGGAGGAGGAGGAGGAGGAGGAGGGAGGAAGGAAAATAGGAGTAGGAGGAGGACAGGAGGAGGGAGGAGGAGGAGGAGGAGGGAGGAGAGGAGGTAGGAGGAGGAGGGGGAGAAGGGAAGGAGGAGAGGGAAGAGGAGGAGGGGGAGGAGAGGGAGAGGAGGAGGAAAGGAGGAGGAGGAGAGGGAGAGGCGGAGTACGGAGGAGGAGGCGGAGGAGGGCAGAGGAGGAGGCGGGAGAGTAGGAGGATGAGCGAGAGGAGGAGGAGGAGGAGGAGGAGGAGGAGGAGGAGGGAGACATGTTGACAAGATTTCAGCCGTCGCACGGTGGTGCTCAGGTTCTGACCTTGCACTTCGGCTCGAGATCCCGCGATGTTGCGGCCAACGCGCCTAGTATGGACGCGCGCGCCTTCATCTGGGGTGCCCTTGTGCCCTTGCCTCTGCGGTCCGTTCTTTGCCGTTGTTCTTGGTCGCCCGCCGCCCACAGATCCCAACTTCGGCCTCCAAGGATCTTGCGTCCTGACCACCCGTCCTTAATACACGTTTCGTTCGTCATTCCGTCATCCGCACGCCCCACCGCCGGCGACCGACGGCGGCGGTGTCTAGCGCCGATCCCAGGCCGATGTTGCCCTCCCCTGCGCCAGTCCCCCCCTACCATTTCCCTCCCTGAGCCAGTCGCCCCCCCTACCATTATCTTGTGAGAAAAAACACACAAAAACACACACAGTCTGTGGGGAAAAAACACAAACACACAGAGTGTTTGTTTTGTGTGTGTGTGTGTGTGTGTGTTTATTTGTGTGTTTTTTGTTCATCCCCTCAGCACGGGCCTGCGTGCTTGGATCTGGCCCCCCCCTCCCCCCTGCGGCACCCTGACCGTCCCGGCGTGGCGCACCAGAGGCCGCTCTCGCCCAGGGGTCGCTCCTGCGTGTCATAGCGCACAGGACGGCGCCAGCCTGCCCAGGGACCTGCCGTGGCGGCGGTGCTGAGCGCGGCGCTCCGCCGCTGGCGGCCTCATCCGGAGAGGGAGAAGGAGAAACGGCACACATGAGCGCGCGGCAGGACAGGCGAAGTCCAGACAGAGGTACGGTCGGACCGAGAGGTATGAGGCAGATGTCGGTGCGGGGAGGGTGTGCCCACATGTTCTCCGCTGCTGTTGGATTCCATCGTGCGTCCTGGGGGAGGGTACCATCGGGTGTTCTGTGTGGTTTGGCCGCCGGAGGGTCTCATGTTCTTGAGGGATGGTCTTCGGGCCTAGGTCCGACTGTAAGCCTAGACGGAGACGGAGCCCTTCGTAAGCATTTTTTCCGTATGGACTGAGCATCCGATCAGGAGAGGTTGAGTCCAGACGAAGTAAGCTCAGAGGAAGACCGAGCCCTCGGTACGTGGTTCTTCCCTATCGACTGAGCCTCCTATCAGGAGAGGCTAAGTCCAGACAGGGTAAGCCCAGACGGAGGCCGAGCACTCTGTCTGGCCTCCCTCCGTATAGACTTGGCCTCCCAGTGTGCGCTCGGAGGTCCGCGCGGGTCCCCTGGATCGGCGCCGGGCCGCGGGTCGCGCCAGGGGCGGCGCCCGAGGCGCCGCCAGGAGGGGGCCCGGCGCCAACTCGAGCCATCGGCGCGGACCTCCGACGGACTTTCTCTTGCTTGTTCAGGAGGGAAAGAAACACACAGACACAATTAATCGTCGATCCCCAGGAAAATATGGGAAAATATGGGAAGTGGGGGGGAAGACAAAAACCCAGAAAACATGGGAAAATATGGAGGATACTTTTATTTGGGTGTATTTATTTGTGTGTCCTAATTTCCCTTCATTTGCGCCGGAGTCCCTCCGTCTTCGGGTCGCGTGCCGCGCCCGCCGGCGTGCGCGCGCGGCGCTGCGCTGCCACCTCATCCTCCGTCTGCTTCCTCCACCGCACGCTCCTCCTCGCCGTCGATCTGCCCGTTCCCCTTCGGGGACACGGAAGACTCGAGTACGCCAGTTTTCGGGCTTGCCGACCCTTAGCTTGGGGAAACCAAACGGTACCGATACCGCTACTCCCCGTACCTCTCCTGGGGTGCGTTCTGACTAGGATGTCGAGGCGAATGTAGGGGTGGCGACGAGGGCCTTCCAGGAGGCCCAAAAAGGCGAAAACGAGAGAAGGGTAGTGGTATGGATGCCTTGTCCTGCTCCGAGACCTCGCGTCAAACTTCAGATTGGGCCGCGTCATTTTCAGGATGGCCCCGTCAGGACAACCCGAGCCCCCCGAACCCGAGTCTTAGGAGGAGGATGAGGAGGAGGATGAGGAGGAGGAGGAGGAGGAGGAGGAGGGGGAGGTGGGGGGGGAGGAGGGGGAGGAGGAGGAGGACGACGACGAGGAGGAGGACCAGGAGGAGGAGGAGGACGACGATGACGACGACGAGGAGGAGGAATCCGACGACGACGACCACTACGACCACGACGACGACCTCGACGACCTCGACGACCACGACGACGACCACGACCACGACCACGACCACGACCACGACCACGATCACGACCACGACGACGGCCACGACGAACACGACGACGACGACGTCCACGACCACGACCACGACCACGACCACGACCACGACCACGACCACGACCACGACGACGGCCACGACGAACATGACGACCACGACGACCACGACGACCACGACGACGACGACGACCTCGGCCACGTCTCCTCGATCCCACCGCCTCTCCGCCGGAGGCCGCGCCTCCACGTCCACATTCGGGGGCAACGACAGGGGGGGTTCTGGCACAGGGGGAGATGCATCGACCCCCGATCGCCCATTGATCGCCGATAGGGTTGTGGAGGGCGATCAATGGAGAGGAAGCATGTTGCCAAGTATGTTCCAGATGTCTAAAACATGTGTTAAACATGTGTCAAACATGTTTTCAACATGTACAAACCAGGTTTAAAAGAATATTTAGAGCATTCTTCCGAGATTTGAAACACATTTTGAGTTCGATGATCGGACTGTTAGGGTGTCCATTGTCATGGCATCCACAACGATAGGTGCCCGATAGCTGCAACCTGCCCAAGAACTTGCGGCTTAACTATCTGGGGCCTATCGCCGATCTATCGGTGAGGTATCGTTCATGCCACGTCGATGCATCCCCCCCTGTGCCAGTCCCCCCTATCGCTGCCCCCCCCCACACACACACATGCGCCCGCGCCCGCGCTGCGGTGCTGCGCTGGCAGTGGCGCGGCACCGCCGTGTGTTGCGGCAGGGCGGGCGCGTGGCGCCCCGGGTTGAGCGCTGCCTGCAGCTCCCCCGTCGGGGTCAACGATCGGGAGGAGGAGGAGGAGGAGGAGGAGGAGGAGGAGGAGGAGGAGCAGGAGGAGCAGGAGGAGCAGGAGGAGCCCGTGGCGGAGGTAGGAGGAGGAGGAGGAGGAGGAGGAGGAGGAGGAGGAGGAGGAACGACGCCACGAGCTCGCTCAAGCTTTGCCCAACGCAAACAGGCGGAGGAGAAGGAGGAGGAGGAGGGGAAGGAGGGGGAGAAGGAGCGGGGATGCATCGACCCCCAGCCGCCCATTGATTCAGCAAATGAATTATCACGGCATAGACATCAACTTTTGGCGGTCCGCGCAAATTTCTTGCATCGGCGCCTGGAGCACCCTGGCGGGGCCTCTGTCACCGCCCCTGGCGCGCTCCGCGCGCCAGGGAGGGGGGTCCAGCGCAGGTCCAAGAAAAATCGCGCGGAGCGCCAACAGTTAATGATTATGTAATTGTTCATTTTTCTATCATCGCCGATAGGGGTCCCATTGCCCCAGCCTGCCCAGGAACGTGCGGATTTACTATCGGGGGCCTGTCGCCGATCGGTCGGCGACGTTTCGCCGATTCCAGGTCTATGTTTCCCCCTCTATGCCCATCCCCCCTATCGTTGCCTCTCACCTGGTCTGGCGCGCATTCGTGCTGGAGCCGGGGTCGGCGTGCAGGCGTCAAGATGAAAGAGCAGGCATCCCAATCGTGCTCCTGCTCTTTCCAGCCAGTCGCCTTGCCCCCATCTTCTCCTGCTCCCGCTCCTCCTCGCGGCCCTCAGCCCATAGCCATGGACCATGTGAGCGACGGGGAGAGAAGCAGGGCCGTCTTCGGCGACACTGGCGCGTGAGCTGCTTGCGTGAGGTTTCGCACAGGCGCCCCTCGCGAACCCCAGGCGGCGCGCCCCGCTGGCGGCCCCGCGGAAGCCGCCGCGGTGGGGTCGCCCACGCTGTCTCGCGCAAGACCCCGTTCTCTTCTTCGCCCACGCGCTTCCAACCTCGGCTTGCGTTCGGGCCTTCAAAGGGCCTTGCGCCCTCGTGGTCTGGTCGCGCCGTGCCTCCGGCTCGGCGAGGGTTTCGGGGGGGCAAAAAACGCGGGCACGATCACCAGTCGTCGTCTCCCAGGAAAGCATGCGAGAAGACATTGGGAAAAGTGGGGGGGGAGGGGCGAACGCGCAGAGAGGACAGGAAACTCCTCCTCCTCCTCCTCCTCCTCCTCCTGCTCCTCCTCCTCCTCCTCCTCCTCCTCCTCCTCCTCCTCCTCCTCCTCCTCCTCCTGGGAGGGCTCGCGGCAGGTCCGCGCCGCCCGGGCCATGGCGGCCCTCCGGGGAGCGCCGCCTCTCCCACGTGTCTGGCTGTGCCCCCCGCCTTAGGGGGGCCCCTGGGCGCCGCAAGCGGGGGTGCAGCAAGCGGGGGAGGAGGAGGAGGGGGAGGAGGAGGAGGGGGCGGGGGAGGGGGGGAGGGGGAGGGGGAGGAGGAGGAGGAGGAGGAGGAGGAGGAGGAGGGGAGGAGGAGGAGGAGGGAGGGGGAGGAGGAGGAGGAGGAGGGGGTGGGGGGGGAGGGGAGGAGGAGGAGGAGGAGGAGGAGGAGGAGGAGGAGGAGGAGGAGGAGGAGGAGGAGGAGGAGGAGGAGGAGGAGGAGGGAAAGCCTGATCCGAGAGTCCCCCGTTTAGCTAAACCTCCGCGTACAGTGCCGTTTTCAATACTTGCTCCGCGTGCGGATCACGTATAAAGAAATGCAGGGATCTAGTATTAAAAACAACGAGGGGTTCATGCATACATGTGGTCATACAGTCATATATTAAAATCCAGTGTTGCTCTCATGGTCTTGGTTGTTTTTTTCGCACGCCCTGGTAGTGGGCCCTGGATCGGGGAAACGTAAGACTCGAGTAGGCCGGAACTCCTGCTTGCCGACGCTTTCTGACGAGCGCGTCATGGATCTTGGCGGTTCAGTTTTTGTGGGATGTATGCGGCTGGAGCTCGCGTCATTTTTCATATAGGGTCTCGTTATTTTTATGATGGCCCCATCGGGCCAACCTGAGTCCCCCGTGCCCGAGTCTTACGTCTCCCCGACTGGAAACGACAGGGCCGTTTTTGTTATCATTTCCGTTTGTCGTTTGTGTTGCCGGTTCCGACGCCGTGATTGTTGCCGGTTCCGACGCCGTGATTGTTTTTTGTCCATCGCAAGAGACTTTCTCGGATACGGTGAAAAAGCGGCCCTGCCGTTTCCGGGGCCCACTAAGGTCGAACATGATTAGTACGTCGACATTGCGAAATCAATGGTATTATCGAGTCCTGCGTTTCGCAGCCCGTGCACTCTATAGTATTATGGCAATGTGGCCCTCGGAAGGGTGTTGCGTCCTGTCGCATGTCCTATCCAATCCACCCCGATTGTGCACGCGAGCGACGTAGAAACACGGGGTCGTCTTCCTCGACATGGGCGCGTACCACGTAAGGTCGCGCGTTAGTGCCCTCGCCCCTCGCTTCTGGCTAAGACCAGCGGCCCGCCTGAGCCGCGGTTTAAGGTAAGTGCGTCGTCTCCCGTAAGATCCGTTTCTGTTCGTCGCTCAGGTGATTTGGCGTGGACAGCCGCTGGGGGCCTCCGATAGTCGCTGCCCAGGCAGCGGGTCCTGTGGGAAACGGGTTTCTCGGTCTCCCGAGGCTCTCGACGGGCCCCAGGACCGTCAGAGAATGGCTCAGGGTGAAAAGTTGGTCCCAGACGAAGGCCCCGGCCCAGACCCCGTTTCCCTCAGGGCCCCTTTTCCTCTTCTCGTGCCGAGGATAATTGAGGCCTCTCGAGATACCGAGCAGCTCGTGCGGTGGGCAGGGGATGGACAAGCGCAGGCACGGCAGGGGACCTGCCGCACCCTTTTGGCCGCCATGGGAGGAATTTTCAGGGAAGGGAGCCTAATGGGCTTGTTTTCCGCCACCACCACCAAAGTTGGAAGGGGGAAGGAGGAGGAGGAGGAGGAGGAGGAGGAGGAGGAGGAGGAGGAGGAGGAGGACCCCCTCTCCCTCCAACTTACGGTGGTGGTGGTGGTGGTGGAAAACAGGCCCATCAGAGCCACCCCGATTCCCAGAATGGAGCGACCCAGAAAAGCGTGGTGGTGGTGGAAAACAGGCCCATTAGAGCCACCCCGACTCCCAGAATGGAGCGACCCAGAAAAAGCAGGGTCGTTTTCAGCGACATTGGCGCGCAAGCTGCCCGCGCGAGGCCGCGCGTCTCGTCTCCGGGCGGGGCGAGCCGCGCCTGGCGGCCCGCGGGAGCCGCCGCGTGAGGTCTCCACCGTCCTCTCGCGCGGGACCCGCTTACTGTCTTCGTCGCTCAACTGTCAGGAGGGGAGAAAAACACACACACACAGACACAATGCATCGCCGACTCCCAGGAGCACATGGAAGAGCATCGGCACTGTGGGGGGAAGAAGACAACAGAACCCAGGAAATGTGAAGCGTCGGAACTGGGGGGGAAGGCAAAAACACCCAGGACATGGGGGAAAAGAAAGGGGCATCCTCTTGTTTGTGTGTACTTCTTTGTGTGCCCCAGGGCCCCCCTCCCAGCCGGCGGCGCCCGCTGCGCGGCCCTGGGCGCGGCTCCCGCCGCCCTGCCCCGCGCGAGCTCCTCCCTCCCGGCAGAGGTGCGCCCGCGTCGCGGCCCTCCGCCCGCCCCGGGGGCGCGCCCGTCCGTCCGCGACGCCTCGCTGCCCCACGCCCGTCCCCGTCCTCGCCGCCCCTCCTTTCAGGAGGGGAAGAAGCACAGACATTCCCAGAAAACATGGGAAACTATGGGAAGTGGGGGGGAAGACGAACACCCAGGAAATATGGGAAACTATGGGGAACATTTTCATTTGTGTATCTTTCATTGTGTGTCCTGGGGCCCCTTCACTCTTGGTCCTGGCTCCCGCCGTGATTTCCCCACCCAGGTTTATGTCGGGCCTGTCCCCCTACAGGGGGATTTTCGACGAAAAATGAAACATACCCTAAAAATACACCAAGAAGGTCCAAACATATTCTAAAAATAGCCCCCAGACCATTTTTGGACTATTGTTTGACTATTTTTGGGGTACGTTAAATTTTTCGTCGAAGATCCCCCTGTAGGGGGACACGCCCGACTTAATCCTGACTCCCGCCGTGATTTCCCCACCCAGGTCTCAACATCAGCCCGAGGCCGACCAAAACGCTGCTCTGGCAGTCTCGAGCTGACCGTTCCCGTGCTCTCGTGGTCTTCGTCCCCCTTTCAGTCCACGGCCCACCGTTGGCCAATCACGCTGCCAGATTTGCGCCGAGATGCTGTTTCTGGCCACCGGCCGGTCAGCTTTCGTTCCACAACGCCTCAACACGACAACGACGCGAAAACGCAAAACGTTGTTTTGCTCCACCCCTAACCTCAACCCTCGCCGCTTCTCGCTCCAGGCAATTGCCCAAGTCGTTTGCCCGTTACACAGATGTCCGTATGTCCTGCATCGTTCCGTATTGGCATACGCATGCCAACGCCACCAGCCAGGTTCATGCCCATTCGCAGTTTCGTCGTGTTTCTTAGTGCCCATACCCATACAAGCAACCCTAACCATGTCATCATTGTGATTTCCGATGCCTCCTTCTTTCTGCATATATGTGTTTATATACAGCCCCATACCAGCACCGAGATTCCTCCCCGCATTGGTTAGATCCGTACTATATGCGGAGTGCCAACATCCCTACCATGATCCAACCACCCCCCTGCCTTGCCCTAACCTGCCCTGTCCTGCCATCCGTTCCTGCCCCTCCCTCCCTCCCTGTCCCTTCAGCCCTTCCCCGTTCTATCGTGCCCTCCTGTGCTTCTCGCCCCTCCCTCCTGCACCCGCTGAGACGACGGGGGCCTGTGTCTTTGAGGAGGATGGTCATCATCATAGCACAGTCCAATGGTACAGTCTAGTTTCCGCCGTTCGCTTGTGCTTCTTCCTCGGAGCCGAGTCATTCTGGCACGCACGTTTCGTGCGCGGGAGGCGGTCATGGTGACAGCGCAGGAGGAAATGATCCAGCGGATCGACCATGACATCGACGACACGTTGACCAACGTGAACCAGGGCCAGGAGCTGCTTTCGGAGGAGGATGGGGAGACGGGAGATGCAGGAGAAGGAGCAGGACTTAGGATGAGGACGGATGAGGACGAGGAGGAGGATTAGGACCCACGCGAGGATGGGGAAGAAAGAGGATCTTTACGCCGACAGAGCGAATGGCTGCACATTAAACATGGAAGACGAACAAAAGGCCGACGGGGGGCCTGTGGGGTCCCGCGCAAGATCTCCGCGCAGCTGACCCCGGATCGCTACATCTAGTATGTACATCTAGGTGCGCTTGGCACGGAGGATGCCAGACAGGGGCGAGGAGGAGGAAGAGGAGGAGGAGGAGGAGAAGGAAGATGGGGAGGTGGAGGGTTTGAATGGAGTAGAGGAGGAGGAGGAGGAGGAGGAGGAGGAGGAGAAGGAGAACGAGGAGAACGAGGAGAAGGAGGAGGAGGAGGTCTAAGGAATGCAGGGAGTAGGTGCATGATGATGCTCATGCTGCTAATGATGATGCTGATGATGACAGTGATGATGATGACGAAGATTAATAATAATATGATGCTGGTGATGACGATGACGACGACGATGATGATGATGCTGATGGTGATGATGATGACGATGACGATGGCGATGATGCTGCTGATGATCATTATGATGATGATGGCGGTCATCATGCTGATGATGCTGATGATGTTGCTGATGATGCTGATGCTGGTGCTGACGATGATGATGATGAGGAGAAGGATGCTGATGACAATGAGGATGAGGTTGAGGCTAATGATTATGATGATGATGATGATGATGATGATGATGATGATGATGATGATGGTGCTGATGACGATACTCATAATCATGACCACAATGATGATGTTGATGAGGATGAGGATGATGATGATGATGATGATGCTGATGATGATGCTGATGATGATGGTGCTGATGCTGCTGATGATGATTATGCTGATGATGATGATGCTGCTGCTGATGATGATGATGATGCTGATGATGATGATGATGGTGATGATGCTGTTGGTGATGATGATGATGATGATGATGATGATGATGATGATGATGATGATGATGATGATGTGATGATGATGATGATGATGATGATGATGATGATGATGATGATGATGATGATGATGATGATGATGATGATGATGATGATGATGATGATGATGATGATGATGATGATGATGATGATGATGATGATGATTGATGAGGAGGAGGGAGGAGGAGGAGGAGGAGGAGGAGGAGGAGGAGGAGGAGGAGGAGGAGGAGGAGGAGGAGGAGGATGATGATGATGATGATGATGACGACGATAGTGCTGATGATGATTATGATGATGATGCTGCTGCTGCTGATGAGGAGGAGGAGGAGGACGATTATGATGCTGAAGTTGATGCTGCTGTTGCTGCTGAGGAGGAGGCGGAGGAGGAGGAGGGGACATGCCAGAGGGGCGTGGGGACCGTGGGGATTGGACACCCAGGAGGCTCGGGGGGTGTCCAGGGGGCCCGGGGCAGGCAGAGAGCGGCGCCGCGGGTTTGGCAGCGAACGGAAAACCGTCGAGGACTGGTCTTCAGGCCCCCCTCCCTGCCTCGGCGCCCTCGTGGTTGCAAGCTGATGCGTGCTGCCATGGCTACGGATGCGGAGATGCTGGCGTCAACGATGATCTAGGCCTCCCAGAGGGAGCTCGAAGAGATGGGGTCGGAGGATCGCACCGCATCGCCGATGCGGCTCGATGAACAGCCCGATGAGGAGGGGATTCACGTGCCGATCCGTGGGAGGCGATACCCGTTCGACACTGTTTCGATATTTTTCTGGGGGCTCGAAATTGTTTCTGGGATGTGGTCCTTAAGTACGGTGGGAACAACAGAAGACAAGACACCTCTCCGGGAGTCTTTTTTGGGTCTCTTGAGAGACCTTTCGGCGGCCTCTCGGCGGTATCTTTGGGGCCTCCTGGAGGCCTCGGGGGTGTCCTGCGCGTCTCCAGGGGCCATCCTGGGGGGCCGGCTGGCGCTCTCGGGGGCCAGCCTTCGGGAACGTGCTCCTCACGTCGGCTCGGATTCCCTCGCTCGGGGCCTCTCTTGGGAGCCTCTGGTCTGACTTGGGGCGATCTTGGGGGCCTCTTGGGCCGCCTTGGGCGAACAGACGTCTGGCAAGGCGGTGATGCCGAAGTCCTTGCAACACCGGAGGGAATTGAAAGGAGTCGTCTCGGGAGGCCCTCTCTGGCCTGTCCGGGAGGCTATCTTGAGACGTGTGGGGCATGTTTTCGGGCCACCCTGAGGCTTGCGACCCATTGACCCCGACGCTTCGCCCTCTTGGAGCTCCCTTGTAGTCCCTTGGGGCGCACGTGGGCCGAGCCTGAGGGCCCCGAAGACCGCTCTTTTGGGCGTTCCGACGCCGACCGCCAGGGAGCTGCCCGGGAGTTGGCCAGGTTCCGCCCGGGGTGGTGTTGTCTCGGGCGACGGGGGCCTCCGGGGTCCCAAGACCGTGCGTTGACGGGCCGGGCGGTGAGGTCTTGGGGGATTTCGAGGTCACCGCACGGTCTGTCACCACACCGTCTCGGGACTCCCAAGAACTAGATTTTACGATTCACCTGCTACCCGAGGTTTTCGCACACGCATCTGGCCCGCGGAGCGGGCGAATGTTCGGGCCTCCTCGTCGGATCTCTGCGGTGTTCCAATGTCAGGAGGAGAAGAAACACACAGACACATTTAGTCGTCGATTCCCCAGAAAATATAGGAAAATATTGGAAAATATGGGAAGTGGGGGGGGAAGACGAAAACCCTGACAATATGGGAAAATATGGGGAACCCTGCTATTTGTGTGTATTTGTTTGTGTGTCCCAGGGCCCCTTCATTCATGGCGCGTCCTCCAACCGCTGCGCCTCCCCCCTGGGCGCTCCTGGCGCGCCTCGAGAGTCCTCCGCGGCAGTCGCCGGAGGCCCGCGCTGCGCCCCGAAGGCTCTCTGTGTTGCTGCTTTTCTCTGTTTTTCCATGGATGTCGGCCCTCGGGGGAGGAGGAGGAGGATGGAGGAGGAGGAGGAGGAGGAGGAGGAGGAGGAGGAGGAGGAGGAGGATTCTGGTCGGGTATGGCCAGGACCCCGGGTAAGGGGACCCGGTTAGTGGTAGGGCCCTGGGGCCCTTCAATTGGCCAGATTCTCTAAACCAGGTCTGCCGTAACTTGACGGCAGTTCCGGTTAGTGGAAATGGGACGGGGGGGCGCCCCCGGTACCAATCACTAAAGCAGGTTCCACTAAAGCCAGTTCGGCCAACGCCCGATTTTCGTTTTTCTATGGGTGTCGGCCTTCGGGGACCCGTTCTGGGGCCCGGGGCAATCAAGAACGGAGCCGGGGCGAAAACCCCTTCCTCGTGATCATTTTTTGTATTCGGTGTTTTGCCGATCCGCGCGGGCCCTCGCATCCCCCCCCCCCTCCCCCCCCCATGGAGTAGATCTTGGCCGTTTTGGGCGCCTGTTTCGAGCAGGCGGAGTCTCCCCGATAGAATGCACTGTTGCAAAGCGTGGCGCAGTCGGCCCGGATTAGCAGGTCGACCCTGCCAGCTCAAGGGTACCCCTGTGTCCTGTGCCTCGCGACACGTGCCTCCTTCCATTCCTACGGCGATGTGGCCCTCGGAAGGGTCTTGTGTCCTCTCGCGTGGCCTGTCCAATCAAGGCCGACTGTATGAAGCAGAGGTCCGGAGCCAGACCCCTCGCCCTCCCTCCCCGTTTCCGCCCGCTGTCGAAGCGCCGAACAAGGGAAAACGCTCACCCTCCCCTTCTGGGGAAGCGGGCGGGACCTCCCTGGGGCTGCGGACTGAACACGCATTTTTTGCAGGAGGGGAAAAAACACACGGACACAATTCATCGTCGATTCCCAAGAAAATATAAGAAAATATGGGAAGTGCGGGGGAAGACAAAAACCCAGAAAATATAAGAAAATATTGGGAATCCTGTTACTTGTGTGTATTTGGTTGTGTGTCCCAGCTCCCCTTCAGAACGGGGGGGGATAGGGAAAGGGGGGGGGGTACGAAACGTGCTGCTTGCATCTGCCTTCGGCGCCGCCGCCGGGCCCCCTCGGCGCCGGGAGGCGCTGGGAAACCCAGCCATGTGAGCCGACTTCTCTACCCTACCCTCCGCAATCCTCCCCTGTTCGTTCCCCCCGACCGGCTGCCTCCCACCGCGGCGTGGGTCCGCGCCGCTGCGGCCCCCCGACCATCGGGGGTGCTCCGGCCTCCTGCCCCGACACGTCGACGAGCGAGCTGGCCGCGTTTGGTTCGCGAGAGGGGGTCGGTCGCGGCCGCCGCTTCCGCGGGTCCAGGTGCGTCGGGTTCGGCCCTGGGCCGTTTTCACTGAAGAGGTTGGTTTACCAAAGTCGGGGGAGCGTAAGACCCGGGTTTGCCAGGACTCGGGTTCGCCATGGTTTTTTGACGACCGCGCCTCGGATTTTGACGAGGAGGAGTTTCGTGGGATGCCTGCAGCGGGAGGCCTCGTCAAAATGCAGGCTCGGCCTCGTCATTTTTTTGACGACCTCGTCGGGGATTTCCGAGTCCCCTGTACCCAGGTCTTACGTCTCCCCGACAAAGGGAGGCTTGTCCACCGCCGAACAAAAACAAAGTTCTGGCCCTCCAGCGTGGGGTGGTCCTCGCTCGGGATCGCTCTTTTTCTGGGGCCCTGGTCCTCGGGCGGGGTTCTCTGTTCTTGGCCCGTGCTCTCGTGGGCCGTCCTCTCTCGGGAGGGAAGGGAGCACACAGACAACAATCGATCGTCGATCCCCCAGGAAAGGTATGGGAGAATACGGGCCGCGGCGGGGAAGACGAAAGTCATAAGGATATAGGAGCATCTGGGCATCATCCTGGGATTTGTGTTTGTGTCTCTGTGTGTCACCCAGGGCCCCCCTGTATTCTCGTGGCGCGTCTTGACTGCACGCGCCATCCTGGGCGGGCCAGGTCTCGAGACCTTCCCCCTGGAAGGCAGGAGGGCGGGAGGCGGGCCAGCCCTCCTGCCTGGTCAGGGGAGAAGTGCGAGCTCGGGCTCGTGAAGAAGCTCGCGGGGCACAGTTTCACCATCAGCATCCCCATCGTCAGCATCATCATCATCATCCTCATCATCATCAACACCATCATCATCATCATCATCATCATCATCATCATCATCATCATTATCATCATCATCATCATCACCATCATCATCAGCGTCATCATCAGCATCAGCAACATCATCATCAGCATCAGCATCAGCATCATCATCATCATCAGCATCTCCAATATCATGATGAACGGAGGAAGAACCACCCCGACCCTGATAATATGCATACACTGAACGGCCCTTTGCGTTCACTAAACAGCTCTGCGATGTTCGATTCCTGTTTTGGGTGCGTTACTCAATTGCTGCACTTGTCGGGGTGCTGATTCTGGGGGGGTTCTGCTCACTACATGATCATCACGGCCGTCACCATCACATCCTTTCATCAACATCATAATCATCAGCAACCTCACCACCACCTATACCGTCGTCACCATCATCATCACCACAATCACCATCATCAGCAGCAATCTCATCATCTTCCCCATCCTCATCATTACTATCATCATACTCATCATCATCCTCATACTCATCATCATCAACAACAGCATCATCCTTATCATCATCATCATCATCATCATCATCATCATCATCATCATCATCATCATCATCATCATCATCATCATCATCATCACCACGATCATCATCATCATTATCATCATCATCATCATCATCATCCTTATCAGCATCATCATCAGCAGCATCAGCATCACCATCATCATCATCATCATCATCATCATCAAGAATCAAACCCATTACTGTCTCGAGATTTTTGGCCCAAAATTATCTTTGGCCATAGCGGCAGCAGTCCTTCCTCGTGCATCTCCCGATGGCTCGCAGCACCTCGCTCCTGTCTCCGGCGCTCGTGGCGGCTCTTGCCGTCGTGGCCTGCCGGCTCGTGCTCGGCGCGGTCTTCGTCGGCGCGCCCGCTGTGCGAGGCCTGCGGGGCCAGGCCATCACGCGCCGCGTTGGCACGGACTACCTGCTGCGCAACGGCCCGAGGGATGCCGACGGCCCGCCTGTGGACACGGCCGCGGCCCCAGCCGGCCAGTCGGTGGAGTACAAGAAGCGCCCTTTCGGCATCGCCCGCTACGCGCCCGGCGTCGGCGGCAACGGCGCGACGGTCATGGAGGTGACCCAGAAGTCCCGCTACCCGGGCGACCCGCAGGGTCAGGCCTTTGTTGCCGGCGTGCAGCCTGGCTGGTCCGTGAAGACGGTGAACGGTCAGGACGTCACTGGTCTCCCCTTTGGAGCCATCATGGAGATGCTGGACGACGAGGTGCTGGACCCGGTCGCGGCGCTCTCCTTGAATGTGAAGGGGGATGCCTCTCAGAGTAGCGGGTCTACAGGCATGGCTGGCGCAGGCATGACAGACTTCGGTGTTTCCAAGGCGGAGGTTCCGATCACGGTCTTGTACTCTTCTCGCTGAGCATTGAGCGAGTGGAGCACTCGTTGCAGCATCGTGTGAGTGCGGCCTTATGAAACATTTTTCGCTGCGCCAGTTGGACGCGGTCTCTGATTCGGCTGTTCGCTGACTGCTCGACTGATTGACAGTCGTCCATGCGTTTTGAGTGGACGATCGAGCAACACAGCACTCGTCCTTCCCCTCCTGCGTCGAGCGCGCAGGTCCATCGGACGGGAGGCCGAAGAGTCTCACCATGAGGGGCAACGTTTGGGTGGGACAGGCTCAGGTGGGTACATCTGCATCGGATCCTAATCGGCCATTCATCACCGACGGGGGCCCGATATCACTCCCCACCCAGCAGTGTGCGGTGTCGCTATCGGGGGCCTATCGCTGATCGCTCGGAGATGTATCGTGAATTGCAGCTCGATGCTTCCCCCTGAGATGGTTCCCCCTACCGTTCCCCCTCATAAGAGCAGGAGGAGGTGGTGGAGGTGGAGGTGGAGGTGGTGGAGGTGGAGGTGGAGGTGGAGGTGGAGGAGGAAGACTGTTTGGACTTCGAGGCTGGGGGGTGCGGGGCACAAATCAGAGGGGTGCCACAAAAGTGAGCGCACAGGAGGGCCTGCAGCTAGCCTGCGAGACCAGCGTTGCTGGCTTTCCCAACTCAGACTCACGATTTCACCCGAGGCAGATGAGGAGGAGGAGGAGGAGGAGGAGGAGGAGGAGGAGCAGGAGGAAGAGGAGGAGGAGGAGGAGGAGGAGGAGGGAGGAGGAGGAAGAGAGAGGTGACTCTTCGTTCGCTTCGTCGGTCTAGTGCTCGTCGTCGTTCCTCCTCCTCCCCCAGGAGACGGAGGAACGAGGACGAGCACGAGGCCGAGGCGGGGCAACGTGATGAGGGGGGATGCGCATTGAGGAGGATTAGGAGGAGGAGGAGGAGGAGGGGGAGGAAGAGGAGGAGGAGGAGGAGGAGGAGGAGGAGGGAGAGGAGGAGGATGAGGACCAGTGTAATCCCAAGTCTCATCAAAGATTGTGAAGTACACCCTCACTCCAAGATCCCTCTTCATTGGCCCCTACAAGGTGTCATTTCCATTGAGGGAAATGCCACGTGGGGGGACATCCGTATGAACATCCTGAAGCGTGCCAGAACACCATTTTCAGGATTTCAACGCCAACTTCAACGCTACCAGTTAACCTGACTGTTACGTCTTGGCGATCCTGAATCGTACCAGAACGCCGTTCCTGGGACTTCAACGCCGCGAATCAACACAACTGTTGCGCCCTGACAGTCCTGAATCGCTCCAGAACGCGATCTCTGGTACGCTCACCGTGAGAGCCAGTCAATCTCTTGCGAATTTCGGAAACGAATGTGCGCGGCGCAGAGGCGAGAGCCACAGGACCCGCCCTCAACTCATGAAACCCTTGCAAATTCATAGAACGAGTGTGCGCAGCGCTAAGGCGAGCGCCACATGTTAAAAAGCAGCCGCCCTCAATCAGTTAAATTCTTTTGTTTGTTGAGCGGATGTGTGCGACGCAAAGGCAAGAGCCACATTTTGAAAATGGCCCTCTCTTAATCCTTCAAGTTCTCACAAATCTTCAATACGAGTGTGCACGGCGCCTAGGCGAGAGCCACAGTTTGAAGACCACACGCCCTCCATCTGTGAAACCGTTGTAAATGTTTAGCATCGTGGTCATAACTTGTGAGGAAGTCTCGGGCGAAATGCCCGGCCCCCGTCCTTTCGACCGGCCTGGGGATGCGACAGGGAGGATGTGTACACAAGGAGAAGGACTGGAGGAGGAGGAGGAGGTTTGGAGGAGGAGGAGGAGGAGGCAGGAGTTGGGGGAGAAGGATGGGGGCGGAGGGGGAGGAGGGATGAGCAATCCGGTGGAGTGGGGAATGGTGCTAGGAGCGCCAGATCCGAAAGGAGGAACATCAGCAAATGGAGTTGGAGGGAGAGGAGTGAGAAAGGAAGCGAATTTACTGGGGGAGAGGCGGGACGAGGAGAGGGGGATGAGGAACGCAACCAGCCTGGCGAAGGACCCAAACCGATGCAGCTGCGAATAACGCAGGACACCCACATCCCTCCTCGAAATCAAGCGCAAGTGTTCCCCGCGACGCGACGGCGCCACAAGACCCCACACTCTCGAGATTCGCGCCGAAGCTAGTGACCGTGACCGCGAAAATGTGACCCCGCGGGCCGCGTTTCGCTCATCGATCAGCATCAAAAACGTGCACGTGATCTTCGAGGAAGGTTGTCTGACCTTCTCCTCAAAAAGGTACGACGCCGCGGGAGGGAGGGGCCCTGGGGCAGCGCGGAGGCACCCGCGCGGACCCTGCCGCTGGGGCCCTCGGCGAGGCCGTGCTGCCGCGCGGTCTTCCCCACGGGGGGCCTTCGGCGGAGCTCCCCATGTCGGGCCACGAGGCGTGCGAGGGGTGCGCCGAGACGGGCGCGGACGACGCCGTGCGGGCGCAGCAGCCTGCGGCCTGCGGCGCAGCTCCCCACGGGGCCACGAGGCGTGCGGGCGGTGTGCCGCGAAAGGGGCGCGGCGACGCCGCTCCCCACGGGGCCACGAAGCGTGCGAGGGGTGTGCCGAAGGGGGCGCGGCGGCGCCATGCGGGTTCAGCAAATCTGGGACCATCGGTGGAACTCCCTATGGTAGGGGGCCACATGCGAACCCTACCCCTACCCCCCACGATTTCTGAAGGGGAGGGTGGGGTCCACTTTGCTCGAGAGCTCCCGAACGAAGTGGACCCCACCCTCCCCCTCAGAAATCGTGGGGGGTAGGGGCAGGGTTTGCATGCGGCCCCCTATATGGGGCCACGAAGCGTGTGAGGGGTGTGCCCGAAGGAGCGCGAGGGTACGCGTGCAGCCTTTGCCCCCGGGGCCTTCACTTCGGTGGAGCTCTCCCTCACGGGGCCACGAAGCGTGCGATGGGCGTGCCGAGGTTGGCGCGAGCACGCATGCAGCCTTTGCCACAGCTGCAGTTCGTGGAACTCCCTGTGGGGAAGAGCTTGCTGAGGTCGCTTCAGGGATGAGGGGGGGCTCGGTTCAAACCGCTCCCCCCTCTCCACATCCCGGACGTCCAGACAACGCCCCCCCCCCGCCCCCCCCTCCCCCCCCAGAAGGAAAGGAGGGGGGATCCAAACGCAACCCCTCCCCCTTGCCTGAGGAGAGGGGGGCTTCGATCCCTTCCCCTGCGCGAGAGGGGGGGGGGTTCAGACCACCCCCCTCGCCCCCATGTGGCGCCAGACGACGACGACGACGACGACGACGACGACGACGACGACGACGACGACGACGACGACGACGACGACGACGAGAACGTCGACGACGACGAAAACGTCGACGACGACGACCCCCATGGCGCTGGCAAACGACGACGACGACGACGCCCCCACATCCCCACCCCTTTGCGCCGACCCCCCCTTCCCCCTTGGCGCCAGACGACGACAACGAGAGCCAGGACGAACGATGACGACGACGACGACGACGACGACGACGACGACGACGACGGGAGAAAGAGGAGAAGGAGGAGGAGGAGGAGGAGGAGGAGGAGGAGCGGAACAAGGAAGTTAGGAAGGAGAAGGTGCCGGATGAGGCATAGGAATGCGAGGAATGCGAGCATGAAAAGACATCAGGAGTCTTAACGAGGCTAGACAAAACTCTCGGAAGGCTGGAGGACTTCCGAGCCTTCTGAGAAGGCCTTCTCCCTCTCCCTTCCTACCCCCCCTCGCTCGCCGCCGGCAGAGGTGCCACATGCTGGGGGTCGATTTGGGGGCACCAAGTTCCAAAAGCGCCGCGGCAGGACCACCTGCTCAAGTATTTCCACCACATATCCTCGAACCGGATGCTCATCATAAAGGCCGCGCGCGCCCCTGCTCTCGTGTTCTCATTCTTCGCTTCGTCATCTCTTGCCCCCTCCTCGTTCGTTCTTTCAGGCTGCGTCTCGCTCGTGCAGTCTGGATGCGGACATGATGCGCTCGAGCGGCTCTCCAATACTGTTCGGACTACTGGGGGAGAGAGGCGTGCCTGACAGGGAGGAAGGAGTTAATCGGGGGAGGGGAGGGGAGGGGAGGGGAGGGGAGGGGAGGGGAGGAGGCGAGGGAGGAGAGGAGGGGAGGAATGAATGGGGGATGGGGGGAGAGAGGAGGAAAGGAGGGGATGGTGAGGGAGGGAGGATGGGGGAGGGAGGGGGGGGGGGGGGGGGGGGGGAGGGGGGGGAGAGGGGAGGGGAGGGGAGGGAGGGAGGAATTAATGGGGGATGGGGATGGGATGGGATGGGAGGGGAGGGAGTGGCGACTCAGGCGGTGTGTGAGCCTGCGTTCCCTCCGCGTGCATATTCCTCTGACCTCCCAGATGAATCATGGCGCTCCGCTGCTTGCCTGCGCACATGGCTCACCGCTCGCGGTTCTCCCGCCGAGGGAAAACATTTCGTTTGTTTTGTTGTTTTCGTTCCTCCCCGATTCCCTCCCTGCCAGCACCAGCGCGGACAGAGAAACCACAGTGGCCAACACAAGCGCCGGGACGACGAAGTCAATCCACATCTGCCTCAACGCAGACAACCCATCCGACCGACCGCCCACGACAACCCATCCGAAATGGTAGCCGAACGCCATCACATTGGTGCACACATCCCAAGACACCGCCACCTGGACGACACCCGGGCACCAGTGCACCGACTCCACGCGAGCAAGCAGCCAGGATCCACAGCGAGAAGTCGAGGCGCCAGGCGCGCCTGCACCGACCCCGAGGACGCCTCCTCCCCCTGCTCCTCCTCGAGGCCCACGGCCGCTCCTCCTCCTCCTCCTCCTCCTCCTCCTCCTCCTCCTCCTCCTCCTCCTCCTCCCCTTCCTCCTCCTCCTCCTCCTCTTCCTCTTCCTCCTCCTCCCCCTCCTCCTTCTCCTCCTCCTCCTCCTGCCGTATGCCTCGAGCTGCGCGCGCGCACGCACGCACGCACACTTTACAAACAACAGCAACAAACAGGCAAACAAACAAACAAACAAACAAACAAACAAACACTCAAGCAAGCAAGCAAGCGAGCCAGCAAGCAAGCAAACAAACACACGCACGCACAAACAAACACTACAAACAACCAAACGAGCCAACCAACCAACAAGCAAACAAACAACCAAGCAACCACACCAACAACCAAACAAACAAACAAACAAACAAGCAAACAGACAATCAAACACACACACACACAACTAATCGTCGACCTCCAGGAAAATATGGGTAAACATGGGAAGTGGCGGGGAAGACGAAACTCCAGAAATAAGGGACATATTGGGAATCCTTGGATTCCTGTCTATTCGTTTGTTTGTCCTTGGGCGCCTTCAATCGTGTCCCTCACACGCGTCATAATCATCGCGATCGGTTCGCGGTGGTCCATCGGACCCATGCAAATAGTAGAGCGCAAAGCTGTGTCCGACGTGCTTCAGGCAGCGCCCCGTTCGCTGCAGTGCAGACCCAGCACCGCCTCTCCCTCGCAAGCCGTGCGAGACGGTGCCGTGGCGAAGCATGCGTTTTCTCCGCTCCGCAGAGGCGGCGGCCTCTGGACCGACCCGGGCAATGACGCTGGGGACGCGTTGGCGCGGCGGCTGCGGGAGTCCGACGCCCGAGGGGTGCGGTGGAGGAGCGCCGCGGCACGGTTGCCCCCATCCTCGCGGGGGTTGTGCAGCCCCTGCTTCGATCACGACCTCGAGCAGGGCGCTGTGGGCCAGACTGCGGGACGGGAAGATGACCACAGCCACTGCTTCTTGTTTGCGCCGCCCTCCAGCCGGCCGAAAAAGAAGCAGTGGCTGTGGTCATTTCCCTGGTGCCAAGCCTAACGAAAATGACCACAACCACTGCTTTGTTTCTGCTGGCTGCAAGGCGGCAAGAAAAGCAAAGCAGTGGCTGTGGTCGTTTTCCCGTCCCGTACAGACGTTCTCTCTTTTGCAGGTCGCCCAGGTGAAGGCCGTCGGCCGTCGGACAGGCGCAGATGCTTCAGCGAGGTGGTGCCTCACCTCGCCATTGAGAGAACATACAGCAAGGACAGTTCAGGCAAGAGCTAGGAGTTGGAATTGGAGCCGTCTTCTTTCCGGTACTTTTCGGACGTGTCTAACCCCAGGCTCGTGCACTGGAGGGCGGTCTCAGCGGACTTCGATTTGAAAACGTGCATCCGTCCATATCGTAAGTGTTGAGCATCCTGTTCCAGTCGAAGTTCCAGGCTCTCCCTAGTGACACGCTTGGTGGTGCGGCGAAGATAAGTGAATCATTTGAAGATGGATGTTGGAGTGCTAGGAGAGGAGAAGACTGGAGAGGAGGAGAGGAGGAGGATCACAAGAGGGGATGAGGAGGAGTGTCAGGTCCTCTTGATCTTGGTGTTCTTCGTCATCTTCTTCGTTGTGTTCCTCGCGTGAGAGCAGGCTTGGCGCGAGAGGCGCGGGACGTCGGGGATGGCCGCCGCGTCCTGCCCGGCCAGTCTCCGCCTCTCGCACCGCCCCGCGGCAGGCATCCGCACCCCCACCGTGCCCTGCCAGGGCCATCCCCTGGAGGCCGCTCAGACGGGGCCCGAGCAGATTTGAGTCGGGCATGTCTCTCTACAGGAGGAAGGTGCAAGAACAGTCACAAGATAGTCCGGGGCCTTTTTTTGTCGTGTCCTTCGGACTATGTTTACATAATTATTTGTTTGACGATTTCTTATTTCAAGAAGTAGGCCTGTAGGAGGACATGCCCGACCTAAGAGTAGATGGGGCCAGAGGACTGAACCCCAACGCCAACGCAGCGTCGCTTCATCGCCGACATCGGGATGTGAAAGAACGGCGCTCCGAATGGCGACGCATCGGCGATGTTGCGCGCGATCCTCCAGCCCAGTCTACTCCGGCCCCATGTGGGCTGTTGGGCCCCAGGCAAGCGCATAGACCCATTAGGTCTCGGCCAGGAGGGCGTCGGGAGGGGGGAGGCGGGGAGAGTGGGCGGGGGGGAACGGGGGGGAGGGGGAACAGGTGCAGACCTCGAGCAGAAAGGTCGCCTCTGTCGCACCGCGCGCAGCTGCTGGCGAGCCGCGCACCAGGGGTCGCTGCTGCCTGCAGAGCTGCTCCTGCACGCGGCCGTGCCAGGCACGGTGGTGGTGCGCAGGTGCCTCCTGCGCATGCCAGGCCGGCTCTGCCCCGCCGCCCCCGCTCGGGGGCAGCCGCCGTGGGGCCTCGCGCCCCTCCGGGCGAAGCCTCTGCACCAGCAGCGCGCGCGCGCGTGCAGGGCGGCGGCTGCCAGACTGACAGAGGCGGCTTCCTCGTCCCGCGGCCGAAGAAATGCGCGACCGGCGGCGTGCCCGAAGCGGTATCCTTTGACAGAGTCTCTCGGGCACGGGCTTCGGCCACGCTCGGGCAGACTCTCCAGCACGGTCTCGGTCAGTACGGCTCTTGTGGAACAACCGGCAATGGCATAGGCATGGACTTTCGACGGTCCGCGCGGATTTCTTGGATCCGCGCTGAAACCCCTTTGCGGCGCCTCTGGCGCCGCCCCCAGCGCGCTCCGCGCGCCAGGGAGGGGGCTCTAGCGCAGGTCCGAGAAATCTGCGCGGACCGTCGACAGTTTCTGTTGATGCAGTTTTTATACTTCTGTCTTGACAGAGCCGAGGCTGCCTGGGCCGTTCGTGCTGGTCAGGGCAGCGGGAGAAAGCGGGGTCGACTGCGCAGGGCAATCCACGGGTGACGTGTGCCGGCGCAGGGCCGCGCTATAGGGGGGCGCCCTCGTCTCTCCGCCCGGGGGGGTGGGCGTCAGACAGCCGTGCCGTCGCGCGTAAGGCGAGGAAGCGACGGCGTCTCAGAGGAGGCAAGGGTACCCATACCTCTACCCTTTCCTCGTTTTACCTCCTTTTTGGGGGGCCTGGGCGGCCCTCGTCGCCACCGCTGGATTCGCTTCTAAATCCTGGTCAGAGCGCACCCCGGGAGAGGTCCGGTGAGCAGCGGATCGGTATTTTTTGGCTGCCCCAGGATTGGCGACGGGCCCCGCTTCCGTACAGTCGGGGCGCTGAAGAAGGAACCCCATTTCGTTGGGGAGGGGCTCGGTGTTCCTTGATTGTTTATAGTTTGCCCTGAGTGTTCCTTAGGTCTTCCATGGGAAATCGAAGTTCAATGTATGGGAAGAGTGGGCCTCGTTCCTTATTAGGGGGCCACATGCGAACCCTACCCCTACCCCCCACGATTTCTGAGGGGGAGGGTGGGGTTCACTTCGCTCGGGAGCTCCCCAGCGAAGTGAACCCCACCCTCCCCTTCAAAAATCGTGGGGGGTAGGGGTAGGGTTCGCATGTGGCCCCTTACTTATTTGAGGTTCCTTGGGTCAGCGCCACGATTGTACAGGATCGGCGCGATCCGTCCCCAAACCATGGGGCACTTAGGCGCCATGTGTCGGGGGTGTCTTCCCGGATCCGTGGATCTGACGTTCGTGATGGGCCCGTTTTTTCACCGCCGCTACCATAAGTTGGAGGGGGGAAGGAGGTGGAGGATGAGGAAGCGGAGGAAGAGGAGTAGGAGGAGGACCCCCTCCCCCTCTACTTCTGGTGGTGGTGGTGGTGGACAGCAAGCCCAGCATGACGCTCACGCGCCAGCTCCACGGATCTCCAATCCACATATATATATATATATAGGTGTATATACACATATACGTGCGCCCGAGTGAAGGCCACCTTTCCTTTCGCCGCACGCTTGCGTACGGGGGCAGGCACATTACCATGACACCACGTTCGCAACGCCAAGGCGCACAGCGCAGTGGACATTATTCGAGGTATATTCGCGCGCGAGATAATTGCCACAATGTCTCACTATGCTTCGGACGAAGGCCTGCCTACTTTAGTATGTATGTTAGCCAGCGTGGACCCCAAACAGTGCGTTCTAGAATACTAGGCGATGCAATCGCTGTGCTGCACGCTATGTGGTGCAACAGAAGACGGGCGGCAACGAGGTGGCGGCAATGCAAATCAATGGAGCAAAATGCAAAGTAACGCACAACAAGCAAAGTAACGCAGGCCCCGACGGCGACGGGGCGGCGACGGCCACCACATAGCCGCCAGACCGACGGGCAGGCCGGAGAGGCGAAAGGCTACGAGTGGAGTAGCAAAGGAGTGCGACGAAGGATGAGGAGTGAAGGACGTGGAGGTGGAGGAGGAAAAAGGGAGGACTTACTTCTATGTGGGACTTGCGCTATCAACGTGCAAATATTTCTGTTCATTTCAGCTCTGCTCCCACATCATCATACATGTATGTCGTAGCATTATTTGCAGTGGATCTCCGTGTTTTGGGCGCTGTGTCAGTACCGTACCCTTCCGCTGTTCATGCCTCCGTGCAGGTAGTACTCTTCCCTGAGCAGTACGCCTTGCCGCCAGCATGTCGTGTACCCAAGGTTTTCTTTGCACTCTGGTGGACGAGGCGGAGGGCAAGGGAGGCCAGGAGGAAGCGGAGGAGCATGCGGAGGAGGTGGAGGGAGACGAGGTGGACGAGGAGGGGGACGAGGGGAAAGGAGGACGACGAGGACGAAACGAGCAGTACCGAGATGAGGAGGAGCTGTAGGAGGAGAAGGAGGAGAAGGAGGAGGATGAGGAGGATAGGGCCTGGACGGAGGAGCTGTATGAGGCAGGGGACGCAGGGGAGGCAGAGGCGGACGAGGCGGAAGAGGAGGACGAACGCGGATGACAAGGATGAGGGGGGCGACGATGAGGAAATTGAGGATGAGGAGGAGGGAGGAGGACGGACGACAATAATGATGATGACGATGAGGAGGAGGAGGAGGATGGCCAATGTAGACCCAAGACGCATCAACGATGTTGCAATACACCTTTCTTCCAAGCTATCTCTCCATACGTCCCTCCAAGAATGTATATTTGTTGCTGGAAGTGCCCCGTTGGAAGGCAACCGCCTGTGAAGACTCGTTAGTGCCGAACGCTATTCCTGGGACTCATGGCGTTGCGAATCCACGCGACGGTTGCCTCCTTACAATCCTCAATCGTGCCAGCCTGGGGGCTACAACGCCGCGAATCAGCGTAATTTTTACGTCTTGGCAATCCTAAATCGTGCCAGGAAGTGATTCTGGGACATTAGCCCTGCGAATCCTTGACACCGTTGCAGACTTCCTTGCTGAAGGGGCAGTGTCCTCCATTCATGAACTTGCTGCAAACTGGTATGACGAATGTGCGCGGTGCTAGCGCGAGGGCCACGTTTTAATTCCTTTTGAGCAGGGCCCCCCCTTCATTAGCCATCGTACTGCAACCTCTCGAGGCGAATGTACGCGGCGCTAAGGCGAGATCCGCCTTCTGAAAAGAGCCGCCTTCAATCTGTGAAACTGATGCAACCAGTTTAGACGAATGCGCGCGGCGCTAAGGGGAAAGTCACGGCGTGAAAACGGCACGCCTTTCATCCGTCAAGTTTTGATTGCAGATTTCGCGGGCACACATGGTGAAGAAGTCTCTGGTGAAATGTCAGGCCCGCCTTGCCGACACGTCTGAAGGTGTGACAGGGACGATCTATTGATAGGGAATTGTGATGGAAGAGAAGAACGCGCCGCTCTGCACTGTCGTCGCGCCGCCGCACAAGCCCACTGTATTTTCGGAGGCGGAGGGCGTACCGCCTGTGCCAAGTAGGAGACGGACGGAGCTGACTTTCTGACAGAACTCCTTCGGAGGCGTGTTTGAGAATTGCCGCACAGCCTGGACGCATCCCCCTCGCCCTCCTCCCTCTCCCGACTCCTCCCTCCCTTCCTCCCTTTCCCCTCCTCTGCCCTCCCTCCCTCCCCCCTCCCTGCTCCGACGCCTCCCCATCCTCCTGGAAGCCACCGTGCCCCAGGCGGGCAGCCTATACATGGCCGCACTCGCGGTCGCTGGCACCCGCCAGCTAGCCGAAGTAAGCGAGCATCCCCGCCCTCCTGCCACCAACTACGCCCCCGCACTCGCCCCGCCCTGCATTCAGCGCCTGGGGCGCACGCGGCGAGGCCTGCGTCGGGGCCTGCGTCGGGCCGTCCGCCGCGTGGGGGACGGGGCACTCTCGGCTGTGCCTTGAACCCAGTGCGTTTGATGGGGATCTGTTCGGCTGCCAACACTGCTACAACTGCATACAGCAGGGGGCTGGTGCACAGCAGCCCTCGGATGCGTCTACATAACAGGGGCGTGCGCTGCGGTGTTGTTGCCTGTGTGGGCACCTCGGCAGTCAGTGTTTGAGAGGCCTTGGGCAACCGTGTCATGAGGCCACGAACCCCAATCGAGCCATACATCTTGCCAATATTTTTGCAGGTCACTGGCATGAGGTCCGCAGCCGAGCAGAGTTGGCTCGTCGGGCTTCGTAATCCACCGAACTCTTTTCGCGACGGTTGTCACTCACTCACACACCCTCGTTCTCCTGATCCTTCCCCCTCCTCGCCTTCCCTCCGCCCTCCCCCCCGTCCACTTCCTTGTCCTCCTGATCCCTTCCCCTCCGCCCTCCTCGTCCTCCTGGTCCATCCCCCTCCGCCCTCCTCCTCGTCCTTCTGATATCCTTCTGCCTCGTCCTCCGCCCTCCTCCTCCGTCCTCCTCCTCGTCCTCCTGATCCCTCCCCTCTTCCTCACAGCTTCCCCTGCCCCTCCTCGTCCCCCCTCCTCCACTGCCTTCTCACTCCTATTTTTTCCTTCGCCTCCTCCTTTCAGGTGAGCAGGAGATCAGGATGATGATGCTGGGCTTCCTAGATCTTCACATGTTCCACACGGGGTGCAGAAACAAGGGCCCGCTAGATGTTCTGTAAATCCTGAAGCATATCCTGAGCCAACCCTATGTACCATTACATATCGTTATCGTCCTGTCCTCCCTCTTTTTCCCCGCGTCCCGCGTCAAGTGCCTTGTGCAGCCTACCAGTTTGCGGTATAATGTCAGGTCGTGATTCGCCAATGCATGCCCCCCCCCTGGGGGCTGATGACTAGACCCCGCGTGGCGCGACATTTTTTGGTATAATCACGCGTGCCAGGGGGGGGAGGAGGAGAGAGGAGGGAGAGGGAGGAAAAGAAGGAGGAGGAGGAGGAGGACGAGGAGGAGGAGGACGACGAGGCGGAAGGGGAGGAGGAGGAGGAGGAGGAGGAGGAGGAGGAGGAGGAGGAGGAGGAGGAGGAGGAGGAGGAGGAGGAGGAGCAGGAGGAGGCGGAGGACGAGGACGAGGCCAGGAGGAGGAGGGAGGAGGAGGGAGGAAGGAGGAGGAGGAGGAGGAGGAGGAGGAGGAGGAGGAGGAGGAGAGGAGGAGGAGGAGGAGGAGGAGAGGTGAAGGAGGGGGGAGGAGGACGAGGGGCCGGGAGGGGGGGGGGGAGGGCCGGAGGACGGGCCCGCCCTGCCACGCCTCGCCGCGCCGTGCCGCGCCTCGCCTCGCCGCGCCTCGCCCTGGCGCCACTTTGGTGCACACGGCTCGACAGAGAATGCGGGCGCCTTGGCTCGCCCTTGCCTCCCGCCCCCCCCCACGTATCGACTAGACGTAAGTCAGAGCCCCGAATCATCAGGGGTAACTCGGGTCAGGGTTAACTCGGGTTCGTTATTCGGGAATCCGAACCTGAGTTACCCTGGGCCCGAGTTACCCCGGATAATTCGGGCGTCCGGAGCCCCACATCATCAGGGGTTACTCGGGTCAGGGCTAACTCGGGTTCCTTTTTCGGGAATCCAAACCCGAGTTACCCTGGACCCGAGTTACCCCGGATAACTCGGGCGCCCAAGTAAGAGTGACCTTTCGCCGGAGTGACCTTCGGTGCGGGCCAAGCGGGGCCCCCCGATGGCCGAACGCGAGGCGGCAGTGGCGCCTTGCGCGCTCGTGTTTGGCCCCCTCGCGGGCCCCCACAAGCCGCGCACCAAAGGTCACGCTTACCCAGGGTCACGCTTGCGTGTAGCCGAATGTATCAGCCGCCTTCCCGCTGGCGGCCGGGCGTCCGCGCTAATCCCCGGCGCCGCCGCCATGGATTTTCAATGCGGCGGGCGCCACCCCGCGATTCGCCCGAGCATGGAGACTTTTTTTCAACACGCGCCCCCCACGGATTTGTTTATCACAAGCTGATATTCGCCGCGGGACCAGCATCCCAGGCACTTTGCATCCTAACTCTGGGGTTGTGATTCGGCCTTCTCGATAGTCGAAGTGGACGAGCCAGGCCCCGACGGAGTGTTTGTTTTTCTTCCTCCCCTCGTCCTCCTCTTTCCCGTAACTGGGAAACCAAGGGGTACCGATACCGATCTTCCCCAGACCTCTCCCATGGTGCCTTTTGGCCAGGATTTCGATGCGACTCCAGCGGTGGCGACAACGGTCTCCCAGGAGGCCCCGAAAAGAGAGAAGCATGCGACGGAAGCGTGGCGGTATGGGTACACTTTTCCTCCTCTTCCTCCTTCGACAAATCCGCCCCTCCGCCTCTTTTTCTTCCTCCGCGATCGCGCCCCGCCTCGCGAGCCTTTTTCGACGCCGCCGCGGCCCACCGCCCCCCCCCAGCCCCCCGCCCGCACGGGACCCCCTGTGGCCTCTCCAGGCCCCGCGGCCCCCACCGGCCTCCTCTTCCCAGACACGGAACTTGTGTCGCAAGGATGGGAGAGGAAAGAGGAGGGGGGGGAGGAGGAGGAGGAGGATCAGCAGGAGGAGGAGGAGGAGGAGGAGGAGGAGGAGGAGGAGGAGGAGGAGGAGGAGGAAGACTAGACTCGGCTTTGCGCTGTGGGTCTGAAGATCCTCACCCCCTCGAGCAGTGACACCTTCACAGGGCGCTCGGGGCAACCTCTGACAGGGCGTGGCGAACGGCAGACGCTGCGAGCTCAGGGTAAAGCGCGCCGTACAGCCCTGAACTCCACCGAAGTGCAGGGACGGGTCGCAAAGAGCGAAGGCATGCGGGCGGGGGGCAAAAATAACCCTCGGGCCCCGCAGGGGCCGAAGCCTGCGGTGCCGGGTGCACCAGGCAGGCCCCCGGAGCGCCCGGAGACCCCGCATTCGGACCGAGCCTGCCACGGGGAAGCAGAGCAGCAGCGTTGGTGTCATGTCGGGCCTGTCCCCACACCAGGGGATTTTCGACGAAAAAGAAAAATACCACAACAATACACCCAACAAGTCAAACAATCCCCAAAAATAGTCCACAGGCTATGTTTGGACATTTTATTGATTATTTTTGGTGTATGTTTTATGTTTCATCGAAAACCCCCTGTAGGGGGACAGGCCCGACTTAACGTTGGTGACGGGGGAGCTGACGGAACGAGAGCAGGAGGAGGGGCCCCGACGGCAAGCCCTCAACCTGCGCGCAATACCGCCAGGACCCGAATAACCAGCGACGAGCGAGGGCGAGGGAGAAGGGGGGAGGGGCAGGACGCGGTCAGCGGACGGTGCCTGCCGCTCGAGGTGCTGAGTCTCGAGAGCACGACTCGCAGGAACAAAAGAGAGGCGTCAGTTCGGAAGGCCGAGCTCGGGGGCGAAGCGGCTCATGTCGCAGACGACTGTGACATGGGAGAATGACATGAAGTGATCGCCAAATCGAGCATCAGGCACTAGATCACGAAACAAAAAATCACCAGCACGTAGGCGTTCTTGCACCAAGGAACACCATAGGAAGATCTGGAGCGAACGGTCACCGAGGAATTCCGAGCCGTGCAGAGGTTACGTAGGCGCTCCTTGGCGGCAGTACGCAGTCGAAGTGATGCAAGACGCTGTTCCCACGACGCGGTCACCGCCTGCTCCCTGCACTGGTCCCCGTTTTCGTCCGAGCCGGTGGCTTCTGAGCCATCTGCTCGAGGTGGCCCACAGGTGCCGACCCGAGCTTCAGGCGGCCTCCCAGGTGCGTCGAGATCCTGATCGCGGCCTGCTCCAGGAGCAGCTTCGTCAGGTCTGATCCTTCGATCTGGAAGCCCTCCGCAGTACTGAACTGGAAAATCATAAACTTCTCGTTGTAGCACCGCCGACCACGAAAGTGACGAGTGACCAGGGCCTGGTCCTCCAGCGGTACTACGGAGAGGAACTTCGCGTAGAATGCTGTCACTGCCCCGTAGGGTTCCAGCAGCCCTTTGGCCTCCTCGTTGTCCACCATGGCCTTGAACGCGGCGCTCCCAATATTTATTTATTTATTTATGTATTTATTTATTTATTTATGTATTTATGTATTTATTTATTTATGTATTCATTTATTTATTTGTTATTCATTTATTTATGTATTTATTTATCTATTTATTTATTTATTTATTTATGTATTAATTTATTTATTTATTTATTTGTGTATATATATATATATGAGGGGGTCCGAGCTTCGCCTTGAGCTCCTGAACTGCGGCCGCCTCGGCGTAGGACTCGCCCGCCGCCTTCGCGGCGTTGACGATGCAGCAGTCGATTGGAAACACAACCGAGATCCACTCATACGCCGTCAAGTCCCGTAGAATCTGTGCGTGCTGGCACGCCATCTTGAGGAGCAAGGACAGAGCGCTTGACATGTCCGTGCCCCGAAGGGCTCCCTCGACCATGGCGAGATTGTCGTCGGCATCGTCTGCCATCTGCCCGGGCTTCTTCTTTTTGCTTGGCGCCTCTTCTCCCGAGGTGGCGGCTCCCTCCTTGCGTCCTTTTGCCCTGGCCAACAGCGATGTCAGGTCCACCTCCATCGGGCAGACGTGGGCGAAGGTGAGCACGAGACACCACTGGCGGTGGAAGGTTGCAATGAGATCGAATGTGTACTTGCAGTCCCAGGAGATCTTGAGCCTCGAAGGCGCAGACGGGGCAAATTAGCGTGGAGGGAACGATGACGTCGCAGGAGAGATAAGTACTTCTGCCCACCGAACAAACGCTCCCCCGATAAGATCTCACGACGCGTCGCTGTGCTGTCCCCCGAGGCCCCAGGACCTGCGAGCACCGAAAGCATTGGTTGGTCACTGTCATCAGGCCCGCTGCATTTCTAACGTGGTGGGCCCTGCCCGCGTGGAGTAGCAACTGTTTCAAGGGTGCGAACCTCTCCCCGCAGACGGAGCCGTCGATCGTCGTCAAGCGGCATATGTAGTCGTTCGCGTCGTCGCCCTCCTCCTCCTCACCACTTCGAAACTCCTGAACGAAACCTGGAGGAGGAACTGCGCGAGAAAAGGCCTGCGCCCTGACGACCGTGAAATCGAAATCGACCCAGCTCGCGAACTCGTCGTCGTAAAAGAGCCGAAGGAGTGGGCTTCCCGAGGGAACGAGTTCCTGGAATGCCTCTGAAGCCTCGCGAGCGTGACCGAGGTCCTCCAGCACCTGGCCGGCCCAAGGGTTCGCCTCCGAGGTCAGCTCCCAGGAGGGCGAGATCACGCGTTGCGGACCCAGACATCCCAAGAAACTCGTTCGCACCTGTCTGTGGGCCTCGGGATGCCGACGCCAGTCCTGATACCATTTGAGACGGCGTACTCGTAGTTCGGAGGCGCACGACAGCATCCTCCAGTGGGCAGCCAGGCGGGCCGAAGACCAGCGACGACAATCGCCATCGTCACGACGATCCAACCCCGGAGCCCCCAGACCTCGTCGCATAGCTTGCAAAAGTATTTAGTCGGCAGCCTCACAGAAATACTTATTGGGGACACGGGCTTCCATTCCAGATAGCAGGGCGGTTTGAACAAATGCAATATTAGACATACGTTTGACACTCAAAACAGCGGGATGCCAAAGAAAATGGGATATTAACCCCAGACCAGTCCGACCAGCTTGAAGTCGTTTCTGTTTCTCGACGTTGAGGGGCCCCGTCGCTGTTATCCAGCCGCCCGAGATTCGCATGATACGCCGTACCTTCCCAGGGGGCCTCCAGGGCCCCGCTGTGCAGGAGACGCTCCCGAGAAACCGAGCCAGGACCCACGAGGGCAACCAGGACCAACGAGGGCAACCGCCGAGACTCTTTCTTTAAGGGTTGAGCGAGGCACCGACCTCGCCCATCGCCTCTTGGAGCAGCCCGCTGCTCGCCCTCGCCTGCGCCGGCAGGGCACGAGCGTCGCAGCCTTCCCCAAGAAGGAGGGCGGGGTCCGGCCTGCGATGGCGGGCTTCGAGGTGTCATCGGCGAACAGCGGGACGCCCACGTCGGTGCTCGGCTCGTTTGGCTCCAGCACCGTTGCGCACGCCTGGGAAGGCGCGTGCTCCCTGGCCGCGCAGAAGGGCTCCAAGCCCTTCTGGCAGCAGAAACAAGGGCGCCCTCGAGGGCGCGAAGTTATTCGCGCTTCGCGCTTCGCGGTTCGGCTCCGATTCCTCCTCGTCCTCCTCTTCTCCCCTGGGAGGCGGCGCGAGAGGGCGAAGTTATTCGCACTTCGCGCTTCGCGCAGCGCGAAGCGCGAAGTTGGGAGCCCTTAAGAAAGGAAGACCACGCGCAGGTCCCCAGAAGCCGGTCGAAGCGTGGTCGTGGCGTTGTCCGTCGCAATCTGGACGGCGCTGATGGTAGTTCTTTGAATCCGAAAACGGGCGTCCTCAGGTAAATAAAGCAAAGGCAAAGTATCCAGAATCACGCCGCGAGACACACTCGAGAAAGCATTCGTCGCATCCTCGTTGATGACAACGTGGGAGAGGCCTAACTTCTGCAATCTCCAGGAGGTGCAGGCGTGAGTAGCGATGGCATCTTCCCGTCTGCGTGTCTTGGCAAAGCCGTGGCAAACATAAGGCAGAGCCTCACGATGAAAGCGAGCACGAACCCATAAACGAGAGTTCCATGCTTTTCCCAGCGGGCAGAAGACATCAATCCAACGGGAGCCCTCGGCGCCAGGCAGACCATTTCGCTTATCAAGTCCCACGCAAGAGGAGACGTCGAAGATCAGACGCGTCGTCTGCGTCCTGCGGAAAGCGGCCAGCACGTCCGCGAAGCGTTCAGTGAAAGCGGTGCCTGTCGAGGGTCGCAGGTCCGATCCGAGTCCACCGCCCTGAAAGTAGTTCCACTTCCCCTTGTCTCGGGGGTCCCCAAACGGGGTGGTGACCACACCGTGCGGTGAGTCGGTGGGGATTCGGGGTCACCGCACGGTTTTGGGACTCGGGTCGCTCTCCGAGGACGTCTCGGGCGACAGGGGCCTCCGAGGTCCCAAAACCGTGCGGTGACGGACCGTGCGGTGAGGTCTTGGGGGATTTCGAGGTCACCGCACGGTCCGTCACCGCACCGCTTCGGGACTCCAAATTGTCAAGTAGTAAAAGCCAAACCTCGGAAGGAACCGACCAGGCGGGGGTCGCACGCCTCTTTGGGGCGCGTCTGAGCTGTTTGAGAGTCCCAGAGAAGTCTGTGGTGGCGTCATCCAGGTGACAGTTCTGCATTGCGTTGTGCCGAATCTCAGAGTTGACATCCCAATCGTCGTTGTGCTCTCGTTCAAAACGCTCCGGTAATTTGGCGGAAAGACACAGGATACAGCACTGAGGCCGCCGTTGGCCGCGGGCCGAGGGGGAGGAGGAGGAGGAGGAGGAGGAGGAGGAGGAGGAGGAGGAGGAGGAGGAGGAGTAGGAGTAGGAGTTGGAGGAGGAGGAGGAGAAAGAGGAGGAAGAAGAAGAAAAATAATAATAATAATAATAATGATAATACTAATAATAATAATAGAAATAATAATAATAATAAGACGAATAAGAATAATAATAATAATAAGAATAATAATAAGAATAATAATACGAAGAAGACTAATACGAATAATAATAAGAAAAATAATAATAAGAAGAATAAGAAGAAGAGGAGGAGGAGGAGGAGAGGAGCAGGAGGAGGAGGAGGTGGAGGAGGAGGAGGAGAGAGGGAGGATGAGGATGAGGATGTAAAAGAGGAGGAGGAGGAGGAGGAGGAGGAGGAGGAGGAGTAGGAGTTGGAGGAGGAGGAGGAGGAGGAGGAGGAGGAGGAGGGGGAGGAGGAGGGGTTGGAGGAGGAGGTGGAGGAGGAGGAGGAAGTCTTTCGTCGTTTTCGGCCTCCGGGGGCCCGCGCCAGGCCCTGGGAGCTGTCAGCAAGGACGGCTCAGGACGACAGCAGCCGGTCCCGGGACGGTCGGCTTTGCCAGTGCGCAGTTCCAGAGGGACCGCCCGCATGCGCCAGCCACCACCCAGTATACACCTTAGGCGATGCTTAAGAAAACTTAAGTTTTCGGCCAGAGTCTTGATTATTCTTAACTTGTCAATGTAAATCCCAAGATTTTGATAGAAGTTCTGGGTTTTTATTCCAGTTCTGAGACTCTGAATTTCTTAACCCATGGTTTCTTAAGCATTTCGCAGGGTATAGCGTTTGTGGCCCCATAGGGAGCTCCACCGACGGCCCCAGTGGCACTGCCCGCATGCATCAGCCACCCAGTGTAGCCTTTCGTGGTCCCGTAGGGAATTCAACCGAAGGCCCCGATTCGGGACGCCCGACATGGGCACGGAAAGAATGGGCACGATGCCCAACAGCAGTTCTTGTTCATTTTGAACAGGATTCGCTGTCCACGCCGCCGCGGCCTGTGTGCATTTGAGACAGAAGGCCGCCTGCCCTTCAGCGGCCGCTGTTGGTTCGGGACAACATTTGCTGTTGGGCATTGCGCCCATTCTTTCCGTACCCATTTCGGGCGTCCAAATGAAACATCAGGACAGCGCATGGCTGGGACTGCATCCTCGAAGCTTCGAGATTTGAGGCTCGAGCTTGGACTCACGTCTGCCCTTAATCGGGCCTCCAGGGGGCTCCTCGTCGTCACGGCTGTATCCTCCTTGAGGTTCTGGCCACAGAGTACCCCTGGAACAGGGCTAGGATTTGACTACCCTTCCCCAAGGAGGCCCCGAACCCTTCGCATCGTGAAGAATCTTTCTGGGATCCCTCGCAGGGCCCCGGGACCGCCCAAAAGCGACTCGGGATGAAGAGCTGGTTCCAAGGAATGGTCGAGACATCAGGGGGGATTCGAGGACCGAGGGGACGGAAGGCATGATCGAGGGGCCGTCCAAAGGCGACTCGGGATGAAGAGCCGGTCCCAAGGAATGGGTCGAGACCTCAGCGGGGGAATCGAGGACCGAAGAGAAGGAAGGCATGATCGAGGGGCCGTCCAAAGGCGACTCGGGATGAAGGACCGTTCCCAGAGAATGGGTCGAAACCTCAGCGGGGAAATCGAGGACCCAAGGGACGGAAGGCATGATCAAGGGGCCGTCCAAAGGCGACTCGGGATGAAGAGCCGGTCCCAGAGAATTGGTCGAGATCTCAGCGGGGGAATCGAGGACCGAAGAGAAGGAAGGCTTGATCGGGGATTGAGGAAGCTTTGACCAGTTTTCGGGCGTCTGTGGGAGTCTCCGGGCCTCCCCGATGGTGTCCACTCACATCGGGTCGGAGGATCGCGCCGCATCGTCGATGCATCCTTGATGCAGCGGCGATGCTGCTCGATGTGGAGCCCGATTTTGTCCACGCGGACGCCGCCGATGCATCTCCGACGTCGGCGGTGCATCGCCGATGCATCGCTGATACATTGGCGATGCGGCGCGATCCTCCGACCCCACCTGCTCGGACCATATCTAGGAGGCCCCTGCAGTGGAAACCCATGCCAAGAAACGCCATGCTTGCCTCCAGGGTGCCCTGGGTTTCTTGGGTTTAGATGGCTTTGCCATGGAAGCCGCGACGTTCCCACACCAGAAATCAATGGACGTCCTGGTGTCTCAGGGCTGGGCTACTCGTTGGCGGTCTTCGGTGGTTGAGCTCCTGCTGCAGGAGGCCTCTGGCGTCCCAGGGCGATAGGTGGCGAGGCCGCGGCCCCCGCGGTGGTGGCTCGCTCTGGCAGTGCCTTGGCCGCGCCGCTCCCGGCCGGGCTCCCAGGGTTTCGACCTGTCCAGGATCTGAGGGGTGGTTGTCAGGAGGGGAAACACATGCACGCACGCACGCACGCACGCACGCACGCACGCACGCACGCACGCACGCACGGACACAGACACACGCACACGCACACGTACACGCACACGCACACGCACACGCACACGCACACGCACACGCACACGCACACGACACGCACACGCACAGACACGCCCACGCCCACGCACACGCACACGCACACGCACGCGCACGCGCACGCGCACGCGCACGCGCACGCGCACGCGCACGCACACGCACACGCACACGCACACGCACACGCACATGCACACGCACCCACCCACCCACCCACCCCCCCCACACACACATTCACGCACGCACGTACGCATACACATTCACGCACGCACGCACGCACGCACACACAGAGACGCATAATCGTCGATTCCCCAGAAAAGATGGGAACATACAGAAGCGGGGGGAAGACGAACATCAAGAAAAGATGCAAACATGTGGGGGGGTCATGGATTTGTGTGTATTTATGTGTGTGTGTCCCTGGCCCCCTTCAGGTTGGTTGACGTCTCCTGAGTCGGCCCCTTGCAGGTCAGGCTCGGTCTAGTCAGCTGCCAGGTCTCGCGCCCCGTGCTGGACGATGACGTGATGGTGACGGTGGCGGCGATGACGGTGCCGACGCCGATGCCGATGGCAGTCAGGATGAGGAGCGCCTTGTCCTTCCAGCTTTGCGTCCTGTCATTATTTGACTGCCTCCTATTACGTATTTCTCTTCCTGCTCTCGTGCTTCCTGTTCCTCCCTCTCCTCATTCTCCTCATTGCTGTCCCTCTTCTTTCTCTGGAGCCTCCTCGTCTTCCTTTTTCAGAACCTCCGCCGCTTAGCTGCTCTCGCAGGCACTTCCTTCATCCTCCCCCGATGAGGATGTTTTGGGGGGTGAGTCGACCATGGAACAGCCTTCGGGGCAACCCTTTCCATCCATCTATCAATTCTTCACGCTTCGCGTATCCCCACCAGCCCATCTCAAAACAGCAATTCTAGCGAAGCATGCCGACAGTCGTGTTTTTCAGGCGTGTTTCCGCCTGCCCCCCGCATATCTCCCCTGTTCCTCCTTCCTCCCGCCTCCTTGTACATCCTCCTTGTGGTGGGAGCGGGAGAAGGACGAGGCGGAGGAGGAGGGAGAGAAAGCGCTCCTCGTGGTTTGAGTCGTTTGGGGTTTCTCGTCCTGGTGTGAGTCGTTCGGGCCCTTCTTCCTGGTGTGAGTCGTTCGGGCTCTTCGTGGTGTGAGTCGTTCGGGCTCTTCGTCCTGGTGTGAGTCGTTCGGGCTTCTCGTGGTGTGAGTTGTTCGGGCCCCTCGTCCTGGTGTGAGTCGTTCGGGCCCCTCCTCCTGCCCGTCCAGAAACGACGCCCAGGCGAGTAGAGGGTCGTCCTGATGGGCTTTTCGGCGTCTTGGGTGCCTCGGGGGGGCCTCTTTGGGCCGTTTGGGATCCTCTTGGGGGCCTCCTGGGGGCCTCTTGGGGCCATCTTGGGGCCTCTTGGTGCCTCCTGGGCGCTTCTTGGGGCCATCTTGGAGGAAATCGATCAAAGAAGAGGGGAGCTTTAATTAGCGCTGCCCCCTCAGAAGGCCAAAATGGGGCCCAAACCTTTGTAAAATCAATGGTTTTGGCTTGAAAGAAGAGGGGAGCTTTAATTAGCGCTGCCCCCTCAGAAGGCCAACATGGGGCCAAAACCGTAGTAAAATCAATGATTTTGGCTTCAAAGAAGAGGGGAGCACTTTTCTCCTCCCCCCCCGTCGGGGCCAGAATCCTCGTGAGGGGTGTCGTTTTTTAGCCCGAAAAAGACCCCTCCAACGACCCGCGAAACCCCCTCTCCAGGCCCAGGAGGAGGGGGTAGGGGAGGGATAAACCCCTCCCCGAAGGGGAAGAAGGGGGGTTGAGAACAGAGAGAGGTCGCTAAACCACTCACGCCCAAAGGGCTGGTGGGATTTCTAAACCTGACGACCTAGCTCACAATCTATCGCGGTAACAAGATATGTCGATTTCGCTGTGTGTCCATCGATTCCATTATCCACGTATCGACCCCATCACCTACGTCCCGCCCTCACTGGCTATTCATCGATCTCATTATTCATGTATCTCTCTTCCGGTATGTCGAACATTTGTCTGGTTGTCCATACTTCGATTTCACTTACACCAATATATCTACTCGTATCGGGACAAGCATCGGGACAGCCTATATCGGTGCGCTGTTTGTGGTGATCTCTTTCTCTGTATGTGGAAGCATATATATGTATATGTCGGCCTCACCACTTATATACCCCCACATTCTATGCATGTGTCTAGGTGTCGATGCTGGCTTCTATCTCTGTAGATCGATCGCGCTCTCCCTCTCCACAGACTTCTGTCCATAATATGCCTACAAGTGTAGGTGTACGGTATAACAATATTGTCATGCATATGCAGTTTCATGCCATTACCAATGCCAATCGTTTTTTATTCCGATCGGCGTCATACCATATATGTGTGTAAGGCCATACAATTGAATACACATGTATGTGTACATATGTATGTATGGTTGTATATATGTATATGATATACATATATATATATATATAGCCAGCGTGGGCCCAAAACAGTAGGCTCTTGCAGTCTGCGCGGTGCAATATACATGATGCAATCCACCAGTGCTCAACTTGAAGTTGGCCACTCCACTGCTCGGGCAAATATCGCGCCCACCCGCCCGCAACTTGGTTTGCAAACCCCATGCGGCGGCGGTTGCGACGAGAGCTTGGCGCTGGCTGGTGGTGCATTTCTGCGGCCGCGACAGCCCGCGCATGCGCGCGCGCAGCGGCCTACCACTTTGGCGCGACTGACGCAGCTGCGGCGGCGCTGACCGCTGGGCACATCTCAGCGGGCACTTCAGTGCGAGTCTGCGACGTGGGCGGGCGCGGTATGATGGCCACGTCGACAACGGTAGACGCGGTGATGATCGTAGTGATGCTGGTGACAGTTCTGACAGCGACGACGGCGCGACCAGAGACGGCGCGGATGCTGATCACGCCGACGACGATGACGGCGTCTTCGCGCCGGCGACGAACATTTTGCAACGAGTTCGACACGCGCGCGCGGCCGACGCGCGAGAGTGGCCCGCATGATCTCATGCGACAGATAGCGCCCACCCCCCCACAGGGCGCGCGCGCAAGGGCGCGCGAATGACTTCGACGTGCGACGCCAGAGGCCAGCTAGGCAGAGTTCCATGCAATGTGAAAATAAACGCATGGCTTCCTTAAGAAAGCGCAGGGGCAAGAGAGCGCGCGCATCTCTCTCTCTCTCTCTGTTTCTTTTTTTGTTTATCTCCCTCTCTCTACTATTACTAGCATATATACGTACATCGAACATGTAAAAAGGGGCTGGCATGCACGCGCGACGAAAGCGCGCGCAGTTCGTCCAAAATATTTGCAATGAATTCTCGCGACGGCACGCGCGCCGGGGAGCCCGGGCGATTTCGACGCGTGCGCGCGATGCCCGTTTGGTTGCGCGTTCTGAGCATGTTGAACAGTTGATGGTTCTTTTGCGAATTCGCGAGAGCGCGCGCGCGAGTTTTTCCTGAAAGTCAGCGTTGCGAAGCTATGTTTTCATGTTTTTGGGCCGTCGGTTCTGCAATCCCCACGAACCGAAGGCCTCCTAGGATTTCGGCACGCGCGCGCGACGACGCGCGCGCGTGCATTCCATTTCATGTTTCAGTGGAGTCATGAGAACCTAACTTTTTTGATACATGAGCGCGCGCGCGTAAAATCCTTGTGCTGACGATGACGGCGGGGGCGATTCCGGCCCCCCTGGGATGGCGCGCGTTCATATTTAGGGTGGGCGACGGGGCAGAATCACATGTAAATCGCAATATGAAACATTTATTTGTTATTCTTACGTAGTGCAATATACGCGATGCAATATACGCGGCACGAGCTAGGTGGCGCAACCTTCGCGGTGCAATCTACGCAATGCAATCCACCAGAGCTTAACTTGACGTTGGCCATTCCAGTGCTCGCGCAAACATCCCGCCCGCCCACCCGCAACTTGGTCTGCAAACCCCATGCGGCGGCGATTGCGATGAGTGCTCGGCGCTGTCTGGTGCATTCCTGTTCCTTTTGTTTTTCGCGATGAGTGCAGCGCTGGCGCTGCTCGGCGCTGCCGCCCTTCCTCCTGTTCCTCTTGTTCGCGCTCGCATGTTCAGGGCTCTCCTGGAATGGGTTTCGATTGGGATTTCGAGGGAGTGGTACTATCGTCGCCGTCCTTCCCCCATTTCTGTGGGCCAAGGAGATCCTGGAACCTGCGCGATGTGCGGCTTCCAGCTCCCAGCGGCCATGCCCCCGCTAAAGCCTGGACCCAGGGGGGAGGAGTGGAAGGATAAGGAAACGATGGGGGAAATGAGGAGGAAGGGGAGCAGGAGGGGTCGCAGAGGAGCGGGAACGCGTGGGGTCAATTTTCAACTTATTGGTGCACCCTATCGGGGCTCTAGTCGCCACCGCCAGGTCCGCTTCGAGTTTCGCCGACCTGTAGTATCTTGTGCTGGGGCCCTGGCGCTGCATTTGCGGCCACAGTGTGCCCTCATGGCCGCGCTCCCGAACTGTAGACAACGGCCGAAACAGCGCGAACGCCCAGGAGAAGGATAGGGATGGGGGAGGATTGCTGTGGACAAGTGTTTTTTGTGGGGGGGTCCGCGGTGTCGCTTTCGTCGACACGGCCGATCCGTGTCGAGATCCTGGTCAGAACACGCTCCAGGAGAGGCATGGGGTCGACTTCAATGGGGAGGAGGAGGAGGTGGTGGAGGAAAAGGAGGAGGAGGAGGAGGAGGAGGAGGAAGATGAGGAGCAATTTGCTGGAATTCTCTGGACACTTTGGACGGGGGATTTGCTTTTGACGCGGACGGTGGGGGTGGTGGGCTTGGGAAAAGACAGGAGCGTTAGCGGGTTTCTTTAAAGTTTCGGCGCGGGATCGAATCTCGAGAAATTGAAGCAGATTGAAAACGAGACCATCGGATGGGAAATATTACATTGAAGAAATCAATCCCAGGAGTCCGGATTGAAGCTTGGAAAAAATGAGGCTGTTCAGTCTTGGAATCGGGGATGAAAAAGTGAGGCCCCGGAATTTCCTGGGGACCTCTTGGGGAGGCCCCGCAACTGCTGGAGAGCCCCCGGAGACCTTTGATCAGCCTCTGGAGCTCCTTGGGCAGCCCCCCCAGCCTCTGAGAGAAGCTTCAGGGCCCCCGTTGGAAACGTGATGGCCTTTCAGAGACGCCTCGAAGCTGAGCCAGGGGGCGTCATGGCCTCCTGAAGGAGGCTGGGTCGGAGAGAGGCGACTGGGCCTCCTGCAGGAGCCTGGGAGCGCTTGGGCCGGAACGCTCGAAGTGCTTTCGCGGGCTTCCCCGTCTGGGCATTCATGGGGCCGTCTTGGGGGCCTCCTTGGGCCGTCTTGGAGACTGTTTTTGTTTGGGGTCGGGCGATAACCCGGGTTATTGGGCTTGCCCCCCCCCTCCCCCCCCATGATAACCTAATCTTGCCGGTTGTGCAGGTCCGCGGGAGGGGGGGCGCGGGCACATGCAGGGCTGCCCACAGTGCGAGTGTTAGGTTATCGGCCGGCCCCCTCCTCCTCCTCCTCCTCCTCTCCCCCCCCGGGATAACCTGGGTTATCGCCGATAAAAAAAACAGCCTCTTGGAGGCTTCTTGGGCCGACTTGGGGCCCTCATGAGTCGTTGTGGGGCCCTCGTGGGGGCCACTTGGGGCCTCTTGGGGCGACTTCGGGGGTTCTTGTGCCGTCTTGGAGCGTTGGGAGGCCGAGGGAGCGAGAGCGCCAACATTTTTCCAGAACTCGAGGAACTCAATGATTTTTGCCTCAGTGGGCCCTCCTGCGGGTTCTCTTGGAAGTCTATTGGAGCGTCTTGGCGGTTTACAGCCGGGGGGATGGTTTCTGACTTAGGACCCCCTCGACACCCTTCTATGCCTCCCTCGAACCCCCCCAGCCCCCCCCCCCTCGCCGGGGAGATAAACAATAAGGCCTTTTTATTCGATCCAACGACGACGTTGCTCGAATTCGCTATGGCTGGTGCGCTTGAGGAGGATGGCCCAGGGAAGGGGTGGGGTGGCGGCGGCGACGGCGGCGGCGGCGGCGACGACGACAAATACGACGACGACGTCGACGACGACGACGAACGGAAAAGCGTCTTCCACACGCCGACAGGGTCGGCGGATTGTTCGGCACCGACATCCCTTGGGCGATAGTTTTGGGCGAAGATGAGGTGTATGTGTGGTCGAAGGTTCTTCTTCTGAGGGCCGTGTGCTCCTGGAGTCAGTCGGGTGTCGTGGGCGTGATAGGCCGACAGTGTCGCCTGCATCATGCCAGGATTTCCATGCCCAGGAAAACAGTTAATGCGGTACGCCATGACGTCTATTGGGTTCGATTCTCTCACACAAATTGTGAAGATGGAAGTTGATTATCATTTCTTGCGACAAGACGGCAGTTGTTTTTCGTTGGCCGCTGGGAGGTGTTCACAGAGGACAACAATAGATGCCCGGAGGGGTGCGCGTGCGGTCACTCGCCCCATGTCTCAATAAACGCGGGCGTATCTCAAGGGGTTGATGCAGGAGTGGGTCCAGCTCACGCTGGCTTCGCTAGGCTCGCGTGCCCGCTGGGCGCGAAAGGGCTCGAGTATCAGCAGTTCGACGTGCACCTCTCCACGCGCTTTGGCGTGTTCCTTACTTGCCAGAAACAATTTGCAGATCAGGTCCATTTTGTCAAATTGAACCCGTTCGTCCATTGCCTGGACCAGGTGGTTTGGAAACAGGCAATTGGAATTTGGGTTTTCATTGCCCTTTTAGAGTTTGGTTGCGAGGCGAGGAACGAGTGCCCCACGATCCAAGAGTTCTCTAGTGGTCTATGGCCCATCCCGCCACCGTGCCATCAAGGGTGTAAAAACGGCCCTACCCTGGTTTACGAATCGCTGTGCGCTGAACCTCTTGCGGACTGACAGGGTAAACCCAGCGCATCACCCGTGTCGCGCGACGTCCTGGCGGCTATCTGGCCTTTCAGGACTTCCCAGGAGGTTTACAGACCACGCAGTGTCAACCAATGGTGTGTGTTGAGAGTTTAGAGACCTCTTGGATGTTTGTTGGGATATCGTGGAAGGCCTCTTGTAGGCCACTTAGAAGCAGTTTTGAAACCTCTCAGGGGCCGCGTGGGACCTTCTTTGGGGCGTTTGTTTGTTTCTGAGTTGTTGAAAGTCTTGGGGCACCCTGGGAGCTTCTTGGACGCCTCGCGGGGCCTCTGGGTGGCGAAAGGCTCGAATTGTTGGGCTGCGCCTTCGTCTTCGGCCTTTTTTCTGGGGGCGTCTCGGGGCTATCTTGGGCCGTCATGGACGCCTCTAGGGCCGTTTTGGGTGCCTTTCTGGGCCGTCTTGGGGCCGCTTCGATGGCCTCCTCGGCGTCTTGGGGCCGCTCCGGATCCTCGGGGATCCGATGGTTTCTCGGATTCCAGACGGAGCCTGAGGAATGTATCGGAGTTTGGAGGAATCCCAATGGGTCTTGTGCCCCCCCCCAGGAATCGTGAGGACCCCCGAGGAATCGCAAGGAATTTATATGAACTTGGACAGAACCCCCAGAGAAACCTGAGGAACCCTTGGGACTTCAGAGGAACCGTACGGAATCATGGGGGATCCTCAGGAACCCCGAGGAATCTTGTCGAACCCTGACGACTCATGAGGGATTCACAGGAACCCTGGAGAAACTTCAGGAACCCGGGGGAATCCCCGATAACCTCATTTATGCTATGCACGCGTGTTGCGCACGTGTGCCTTACTTATATGCGTGTGATGTACGTTTTGTATGTGTGCCGTAGACGGTTTGTACATTTTGTCGTATGATTCGTGTAAGGGCGTTGTATACGTTGTGTATATTTGCGTATGCTTTACATATATAAATATGTCTGAATGTGCATGTGTATATACATATATGTGGTACACCTGAGAAACCCAATCAGAAGATGATTCTTAGGCTTACGCCACACCGCCGACCCCTTGTTTATGCCAATCTGGGGGTAGTAGAAGCTGCGAAGGGGTGAAAAGGCGAGTGATATTTGTTTGGTGTCTGTTCGCCGCCACCGCCAGAGGGTCTCGGGCAGTTCCGCGGGGAGGTCCGAGCGGACAGCGACACTGCGAGTTTTGGAGCCACTCGGGGGCCGTTTCGGAGCCTCTGGGGTGCTTCTTGGGGGTTCCTTGGGGCGTCTGGGCGGCCTCGTGAGGGCCTCTGGGGGCCTCTTGGGGCACTCTTGGGGCCCCCTGGGGCTCCTGGGGGCAGAAAGCTAGAGTTTCAACATGTTTGGTCGCCCTCTTGGGCCCGTGGTGCCGTCTTGGAGCCCTCTTGGGCCGTCTTGGGGACCTCTTGGGCCGTGTTGGGGCCGTCTTGGGCCGTCTGGAGGCCGTCTTGGGGGCCTCTTGGGCCATCTTGGGGCTGTCTTTGGGGCCTCTTTGGCCGTCTTGGAGCGTCGGGAAGCCGAAAAGGCGGAAAAGCAAAACACATCGAAAAACACTATGGAAAATCAACAATTTTAGACTCTTGGGGCCCTCTTGGGAGGCTTGTTTGGGACCTCGGGGGCCGTCTTGGAGACCTCTTGGCCCGTCTTGGGGCCATCTTGGGCGTCTTGGAGCGGTCGTTTGGCGTCTCGGGGCCTTCGTGAGCCTTGGGAGGCTCTTGGGGGCTTCGTGGCCCGTCTTGAAGCCCTCTTGGGCCAGGAAAAGCCCCGTGGAGCGCTCGTCCCGGACCCCCCCCCCCCTCCAAATCGACCGGACCGGGCTCCCGGGGGAGGGGTTTGGGGAGGGGGAAGCATCTCACACGCCGATGATCCCCAAGGGGTCGGCGGATTTGAACATTAGTCACATGGATCTTGAGATCGATAATGAGATCGATAGTGGAATCGATTGTTGACGATTATAAGGGCGATCGTGAGACCGAGAGTGAAATCGATTCAATGAGATCGATATGGAGATCGATCGCGAGATCGCTCGTGCGATCTCTAGTGAGATCGCTTGCGAGATAGATTGTGAGATCGATTGTGAGATCGATGGTGAGATCGATAGAGAGGTGTGAAATGAGGTCGATGCTGAGACCGATCGATAAGAATATCGACCAGGAACCCGGGAACCTGGGAATCTCGCCGCCCACCGAAATCGGCCAGGGAGCCAGGAACCTGGGAACCCGGAGCCGGAAACCCAGGAACCCGGAATGCCACCAAAAGCGGCGTGAAGCACTCGCTTTCTCTTTCAATATCCGCTAGGACCCCTTCAGTGCAAGCACTGATTGGGGATTATGGGTACACACGTCTGTATGTTTGGTCTTCGTGTTGTATACGTTTCGTGTACGTTTCGTACGCGTCCAGTGTCGTACACGTTCTTTTGTTTTAAGCACGTTCCGTATAGTCGTTGGACACGTGCTGTCTGTTGTTGGTACACGAAGTGTAGATTTTCCGTGTGCGTGCTATCTATGTTTCGCGTGCGTTCCGTAGGCGTGTCGTTTATGTTTCGCGCACGTTTCCCATACGAGTTGCAGGCGTTTCGAATACGCGTCGTGCATATTCTGCGTTTTCTCTATAGTTTTGCACACGGTACGGTTCAGTTCGTGTTGTATGGTTCCTTTGCTTGAGCTATGTGTCCGTTCCGTGTACGTTTCGGACACGTTGCACACGTTGTACTCTCGTTGTAGTGGTGCTTCGTATACGTCGCGTGTACGTGTTGTATACGTTCCGTATACGTGTTGTTCACGTTTCGTGCACGTCTCGTTTCACGATTTGTTTAAGTTACGCGTTGTGCTTTCACGCCGTACACGTGTTATTCGTTTTGCACGCACGTTTCGTATATGTTCTATGTACATTCCGTGGACGCTGTACAAGCGATCTGGCCATGCCACGCACAGATATCAATATATACATATATATATATATATGTATATATGTATGTGTATATGTTTATGTATACGCATGGGTTGTACTGCATACGCGTCGTATGCGTGACTGTGCATACCTGTACATGTGTGTTCATATACATGTATGTTTATATATATATATATATACATCCCCAGGCCGAAAGTTTTTTCCTCTTGGATTAAAATATGACAACATCAACGGATCCAATTGGATCCCTTTGCGGGTGTGGGAGAGTTTCGTGGATCCTATTTCTGTGTTGCGCGGATCCAATTTCCTGTGTGAAAAAACGATGGATCCATTTATTTCCCGGGAATAAATATGATCCAATTTCCTGTGTGTGAAAAAACGATGGATCCATTTATTTCCCGGGAATAACTAATAATAATTAACCTCCGGGACCCAGGGGAAATTGGATCCGCGGAGCACCGCAAGTGAAGCATCATGCTACATCCCCAGTATCCACGGAGCTGTGGATCTGCAGACCAATGTTATGATTCTACGGGGGAAAGGGGGTCTTCCCAGAATGAAGAGGGGAAGGATGAGGGAAAAAAGGCAAGAGGATGACATGTGGGCCTCAAGAGGAAAATCTTTCGGCCTGCGGAAGTGGGATTTCGAACTGCGTCTCCCCCGCCAGCACGTGGCACTCTTTCGCAAAGTTCTGGTGCACTCTTTCGTATATTTCTGGTTTACGTATGGTGAGTGCGTTCTGTCACCGCCGCCCCTGCGTGGA